AAAAACAAGCAATCAACACACAGCAGGAATACATTTTAAATTTAGAAACAGCCCAAATGTGCTCAACTTAAGAAAGTGCAGGACTTGCAAAAGGAAAACATTCCCATTCTATGTCGAATGTTTGTCTAAACTGAAATTTGCGATGTAAAAAGTGAAACCACGGACGTTTGAGAGGAAAATGCAGGTGAGACTTCCAAACTGAGTTATTTCCACCTGTGCCTGGGAACGGGCTTCTGAAACAAGGCAGAAAACTGCTGAAACCGAAGATACTGGTGGTCTGACCACACGAACATTCAACACATCCATACAAACAAACAAACAAACAAGAACTAGCACCCTTGCCAGAGAGATGATAAACGTGCGTGTGGACAGGTGTTCAGGGGAAGCCTTTATGTGTTTGGAACAGTAAGAAGAAACAGGCAGCAAACATCCCAGCTTCGACCAGGGAGTGCTGGTCAGGGCAGGTGCCAGCAGCTCAGAAAAGAACATGAACACCCAAAACACGGAAAGCGAAGGTGATCAACCTCATTGGTAATCAAATTAACTCCACGTGTTCGCACAACCTCTTTGCCTTTTAGACTGTAAAGCCTGGACATACTAGCAACACCCACAGTTGGTGAGGACTCAGGAAAAGCCCTTCCGCGGGCATTGAGAGAAGCCAACACTGCCCTCCCTCCCTGGCATCCCACTGAAAGCAGGTCTCCCCTTCCTCTCTGCCTGGCCCCCTGCACTCAGTAACACACTCATGTTTCCTCGCTGCTGGCGGTCTCCCCGCTTCCCCCTGGGTCCGGTTACCCCCCCTTGCAGCAGCCACATCCATTTGGCCACAGCTGTATAAGTAGCACCCAGGACAGCGGCTGGCTCATGGCGAATGCCAGACAGGTGTATCAAGCTACTTTGTACAGACTCTCCTCTGAGGAGGCAATGCCATTCCTAGGAATGTATCCTAAGGAAATAAGGCCAAATGTGCAAAGATGTTCACTGTTAAATTGTTTATGGCATTTATGAAGTGGAAATACCCAAATGCCCTACAATAGATATTAATAGCATTAAATCTACACAGAGGGAAGCTACAAAGCAGGGATCCTCAGCTCTGCCCAACAAAATCACCAAGAGGCGGGGCGTAAAGATGTACTGATGTCTGAGCTGCCCACTCACCTAACAAATTCAGCCCAAGTTCCTGGGGGGTGGGGAGTGGGACCCATGGAGTCGAGGTCAGCCAGGATTGACAACTGCTATTGTAAATTTAGCTGCAGATCTACAAGACATTTCGACATTCTGCTAAGTAAAAAGCAGGTATGACAACACCGTCTATGGTCACAGTCCCATTTCTGTGTCAGAGAAAAACAGTGTGTTTCCGTGTAGCTGCACGTGTGAGGATATTCCTGGAAAAGGCTGGGAAGAAATACACTGACACATTCTCTTGGAGCTGACGTACAGATGTCTTGGTTTTCCTATTTAGGACAATTTTTGGAAAAATAGGCAAATATGAAATCCTTACAAATTTACACATTGTAATGCTTCTATAATTAGAAAAAAAATAACAGCTTGTTTTTAATTTTAAGAAAGGTTACTTGCCCTGGCCGGTTTGGCTCAGCGGTTGGCGCGTCGGCCCACAGACCGGAGGGTCTCGGGTTCAGTTCCCGCTAAGGACACATATCTCAGTTGCAGTTTGTCCCCAGCCCCGCTTGGGGTCGTGTGGGTGGCAGCCACTCGATGTGTCTCTCTCACATCAATGTTTCTCTCTCTCTTCCTCCCTCTCTCCCTCACGCTCTATCTGAAGATAAATGCAAAAATGTCCTCGGGTGAAGATACAAAAAGAAAGGTGACTTGAGAACCTGGTAGCCCTCCTGCCTACTCACCCGCCTGCACACCAGCCCCCCACCAGTCTCTGCTCAGCCTGCTCAGTTCTCTCACTCCCTGGGCAAAGGGAAACCTCAGTGGTCAGTCACTCCCTATGAGCAAGCTCATGCCACGTTAGGTGTGGGACAAGCCATGGCTGCTGAGAAGGACGGGTGTGCCCCAAGTTCCCCAGCCGCTCAGCAGAAAGGTGCTGGGACCCCCTCTAGCACAGGGGATGCCAAGACGAAGAGACATGAGGGGCTTGTCCAAAACCACAGCTCTGGGGCAGAGCAACAGAAGAAATGCAGGTCCCTTAGCAAGTTCAGTCACTAAAAGAAATTGCCTCTAGAAGTCAGGAAGGGGATAATGGGAGGAGGGGCATTGAGGGGAGAGGACAAGTTGGCCCTTGGTTCTGGGGTGAGGAAGAGGCACAGAGAATCCTGAACAGGCCCCCAACCCCTGCCAGGTAAGGTCAATGGCTCTAGACTCCACAGGACTGGCAGGGGTGGAGGACATATAAGATTTTTCATATCACATCTAGCTGTTTAGTTGGAATTTACCTGGCACTTCGTTAAATTGCCCTCTAGTTTTCCTGTTTCCTTTTCTCTGCATACCTAATTTGATATAGTAATTGGGTGTTTAAAAAAAAAAAGTCATCAGAAGGTTTCACGTTGCCATAGCAGCCAGGCAGTCCCAATAGGTGCAAGTCACCAGCACCACACAGTTGCCTCATTAAGCCTGCTCCACAGTGGGGCTGAGAAAGTCATGGGACGTTATCTGGAGGGGACAGGTGACTGCACACCCCAGTCTGGAGAAGAGGTGGATTCAGGGGGCACGACTCCCCTACTGAAAGGTGTTCCTCCTTTCCAAACCCATTCTTTCCACCCAAATAAACCCATGGCGTTCGTGCTGAGCTCTACACGACATTCTCTTTACAGACACGGCTGTGACTCCTGAGCTGCAGGTGCCCTGATGGTGACACGTAATCATGGAATAAAAGTGGAACAAGGTGGCTGCCCACCCAGAGAATGTCTGCAGCCACTGAGCCCAGGGACAGGTTTGACCTCCTGATCTCATGTGTTCAGTTTGGGCATGTGGCCACCATGCGCAGTGGTGAGCAGGTAATCGATGGTCCCATGTCCTAAAAAGCAAGTACCTGTCGCCAACATCAGTTACCCACCTCCCACAAGCCCAGACAGCTGGTGCCTAGGCCATCTTTCCACAGGCAAATAAGGGGGTGGGGGACATGTTAAACAATTCTCAAATCAGATTGCGAGCCTCGTAAAGAAATTCTGTGCTCTTTTTGCCTTTTGTTTTGTTTTGTTTTGTTTTTTAATCCTCACCCGAGGACATTTTTTTCCATTTTTTTGTTCAGATAGAGTGGGAGGGAGAGAGAGGAAGAGAGAGAGAGAGAGAGAGAGAGAGAGAGAGAGAGAGAGAGAGAGAGAGAGAGAGAGAAACATCGACATGAAAGGGACACACCGAGTGGCTGCCACCCGCACGGCCAAGCAGGGCCCGGGACAAACTGCAACAGAGGCACGCGCCCCCAGCAGGAACCGAACCCGGGTCTGTCTGGACCACAGGCCGACGCTCTAACCGCTGAGCAAAACTGGCCAGGGCTCTTTTTGCCTTTTTAATGATCCTTGAATTCTGAGATGTTACACACTGAGCCCGTGGGAAAAGTCTACCTTAACAAGCGGAAGGCAATGCCATGCTTTAGTTGTACATCAATCTCTCTACCTCTGCATCAGAGAGCACAGCGCGAAGGCAGAAGAGAGTGGCCGGCTCTTGGCTGACACCAGCAAATGCTGAAATCAGATGTATTTTTCAGACGTGTTCTCATCCCGCTGTAAGAAACTACATGTAAATCTGCTTCCTGATTAGTTCCCAATTCACTCTGGGCTTTCTTTACTTTGAGTATTTATGCTAAAACAAAAACATATAACATGAAACATTCACAGCAGTGAGTTCTACTGTCCCCAAGTTCAGAACGCAATGAAAGGCAGCTCCGGATCACACTGTGCCATGTGGGTAGTCCTGAATGCCCATCCTTGGAGTGCAGGCAACCATGACCCCCACTGCTGACCTGGCCAGCCCCGCCCCCTGCCCCAGCACAACAGCAGGTTCCTCATCATTCCCTCTGACCATGGTCGGCACACAGCCTGCACACTCACCAACACTGGCCTGAGTTTGGACTATTGCAATTTCCTATAATGCTTAAATTATTTATCAGAAATAAATAGCTTCGCCTCTCACGCTGAGCTGTGCTCTAAAATTATAAAAGACCCATCATACTCTGCAGGCTGCCTACAAATGAAAAAAAAGCAGATTTCAACTATTTTAGGAAAATGTCAAAAAACATCAAATGTGTCATCACTGTACCATTTAAATGATCTGTGTGGCATCTGTAGAAAAGGACTGTACATTTGCATGTGAATATGTCATAGTGCCCCAAAGGCGGACACCAAACAGCTACCTTCCCTGTAGGTGCCAAGTCAAAGGTTCCTGGTGCCCAGCAGGGCCCAGGATGGACTGCTGCCTGTCACCTGCTTTCCACTAACACCAGCCTCCCTATAGCCACTCAAGAGACGCCTGTGGTCTGGGTGGACAGCTTTACCTTCAGGAGGACATGAGAGAAACGCAGTTTTCCAAAGGGCAGGTCCGTGCAGAAGGTAAGGCCGTCTCCACCGCACATCTGTGTGTAAAGGTTGGGCATTGGGGGGGGGGGGGCACGCGCCTGTCACCCTGGAGACTGAGAGCAAGGGCCAGGGGCCCTGAGCCACCTGTGGGGTACGCATCTCCCTTGCACACTGAGCACAGCACACGTGCAGAGTAATGAACCGAGCCGCACACAGCCCCTGACAGGAAGATGAAAACGTGCAGCCCTTGGTACAGTGGGCGGCGTCGCTCCTAAGCCCAGAGCCGCCTGACTGCCACTGGACACAGAGGACGCAGGCGGCGCCCTGGACACGCGTGGGCACCGCAGGCACGATCCGCCAGTTTCCCTTGGAAACCAAGCGGCCCAGGGACGCCTTCCCATCCGGTGGCCGTGTGTCTGGACTCGAGGAAATCCTGCCACAGTCCTCCTGCGAGAGCGCGTGGGGTTTCCACGCTGTTCCCAGAGTGGCCCGGAGTCCCTGCTATGCGGCCGAACTCACCGTCCTCCTTGTCGTCAAACACGGGCCTCCGCGCCGGGGCCGACGACATGGACGAGCTCATCCTCTTCTTCCACTTGCTCCACGCAAACAGGGGGCGCGGCTGCGCGCGGGCATCGCCCGAGTCCCGGGCTCGAGGTTGGCCGGCGGCGGGCGGCTGCAGGGCCAGGGGCGCGTCGGGGCCGGCGGGGCGCGCACGGCCGGGGGGCGGCGAGCCGGGGGGAGCTGAGGCGCTGCTGCCCCTGCGCTCCGCGCCGCTCCTCATCGCCGGGCTTGGGTGCGCGCCGCGGCCGGGGCCCGGGGCATGGCCCGCCCGCCGGGCTGGGAGGGGAGTGGGAGCTGCTAGCAGCAGCCGGGGTGCTCCTCCGCCTCGGCGCTCGCGGGTCCTGGAGGCCGTGTGAGCGCCGCCGACTGAGCGCGCGCGGGGGCGGGGCCGGGGCGGGGCCGGCGGGAAGGAGCCGGGGTGAAGCCGAGCGCCGGGGGCGGGGCCGGGGCGGGACTGGCGCGGGTAACGGCGCGCGGTGCCTTGTAGCCTCCGATCACCTCGGGAGGGGCCCGTTCCGCGCAGACCCTGGGGCCGTGGCATCGACTGGGTGGTGGGTGTGGGGGACAACTGCGAGGGAGGAAAGGCTGCGGCCCCTCCGAGTATCCTGGAGGCCCCCAAAGGATAGAGTTCTCGGGACGGGCACAGCTCTACCCCTCAAGGCGGCGGGGACTCGGAGCTCCCGTGGAGCCTCCCCACCCCCACTGCCTTCGTGAACAAAGCCGGCCCTCGGACTGCCGCTGCTTGATCAGTGGAACCTTGAACGTCAGCCTGCGGCACTGCGCTTCTTAGGACGTGCCAGGCCCAGGATGGGGCGGCGGGAAACCGCTGCGCTGGCACCGAGGCCGGGTCGCGCTCCGGGCTGGCAGCCCCGCGGTGCTGGGCCGGGTGCGGATCCCGGCCTGGGGCTGCAAGGTTCTCGAGACGGCGCCCTGGGGAGGGGGGGGGGCAAGCCAAGGGAGGGGCGGTGGCAGGGTTGGTGCAGGAGCCCCTCCCCGGGCGCATGGCTCAGAGCCTGGCCGAAAGCTGGCTGGCACAGGCCCTCGTGCCTGGGTGGCGGTGGCGGCATTAAACACGCGCTCTCGGGGTCCTCTTGGCTGGGTATCTGGTCCCGTCCCCAACGTGGCTGCCTGGTCACCGGTGCCAAACCCGAGCACCTGGCGCAGGTCAGAGCCCCAGGACCGCCCAGGGTCCCCTGGCCCTGCCCAGGTCCGACAGGAGCCTGCGCGCTGACCATTGGACCTCCCACGGCCTTGGACGGTATTTCAGGGGCGCCAGGCGCTGTTTGACCGCCATGTGCCTACGCCTCTGCTCGCACAGCCAGGGGACATTCCTGTCGTCCTGCACCTAATACTTTGTCACCGAAGAATCGTTTTTGATGTGGGTTGTTTGACTTTGACTTTTGGAAGCCTTTGCCTCCTTAAGTTCTGCCTTCTAACCAGGCCACAGAGCCGGCCATTCCTTCCCACCCGCTGAAGTCTCGGAGGGCCTTCTGCTGCCTCAGGGTGAGAGCTGTCTCCCCACTTGGACGACGCGTGGTCACCAGGCCCTCCGGCTCTCCCGGCGCCACCTCTCCCTCCTGGCACATTCTTCAGCCAGTCAGGGCTCTGTCCTGACCTTGCAGCCCCTCACCTGTCTCAGCCCTCACCGCTGGTTGGGGTACTCAGTCTCCTTCTGTCATGGAATGGGGCGCTACATTCGTTCCCCACCTCACCTTTGAAATTCACTGTGGCTCCTCCACCTACTTGGCCAATGGAATGTCAGCAGAGGTGACCTATGTCATTTCTGAGCCACACTCTAGGGGCCAGTGTTGACTGGCCATACATCACTAGGGGACCACATGCACACCCACTGGGGACATGAAAGACAAGGGGGAAATCATCACCCTGATGACCCATTGAGACATGGGGTTATTTTTCCCCGCAGCACCACCTAGGATAGCCCCACCCACCACATACTGCAGGTCCCCTGACCTGGCTGACATGAGTCTCAGGTTAAATTTCAAAAGCATGGAGACAAGTTACAGGATCGCCAAATTGGATTCAGCTTCCTAAACTCCCACAGAGCTCTGTCCTTGGCGCCCCCCTTCCTGCCAATTCCTGGTGGGCACATGGAAGGCACTCAGCACACACCTGCACGGAGGAGCCGCTGTAGGACCTCACCCTGCCCAGCCAGGTCAAGCGCAGGGATGCTTTGAAAGAGGAACACCAGCAGGGAAGTGCGCGCCAGAATCCCACACACCCACCGCAGCCTCGGGCTCCCCAGGTCAGACTGCCACACTTGTCTCTCCCCTCCCTCCAAGAACTCCTAAAGGGGCAGAAAAAGAATAAAAAAGTATAACCCTCCCCCTCGGAGAGCAAACAAGAGAAGGGATGTTAGTGGAAACACATGTTACTGGGTTAAGAGGCTAGCTGGAAAAGTTACTGTGAACATTGGAGAGACCCAGGGCTTGGAGGTAACAGGTCCACAAGGGGATGGGGCTTAAACACAGGAAGGGGGCAGCGGGCGGGGGCATGGGACAAGCTGAACAGAGCAGCAGAGCCTACGGGTGCCTCCCCCACCCAGGGCAGTTGGGGCTGGACAGTCTTTCTCTCTATAGAAGGACCACGGGCCCCTGACTCAGGGACACCAGGCCCGACAGAAGACAGAGTGAAGGGACCTGCAGGGACTGATGGAGACATCTGCACACTGAGAGCCCCAAAAGCCAAACCAAGTACCTGCCCCAGTCAGGAAATAGAGTCTCCTCTGGAGAAACTGAGAAGCTCCCCAAATATCCCTGGGCCCTAAGATCTGGGATCCCTTCGCAGGCCCCAGTAGGAAAGAAGAGGGACTAGTATAGCCGATGGGCCTGACAGCAGGCCTGTGGACTCAGGGCAACTCTCTGACTCTACCTGGTCCCAGGGTGAGGTCCAGGGTTGCTCAAGGATTGGATGGTGGGAGCCGGGACTGTCTAAAATAGGGTGCACAGTGTGGGCAGGGGACAGAGAAAAGGTTAGGAGCAGCCTCAGCTTAGAGCAGACCAGGTCTCTGCACCCTTGAAAGCAACTGTGAAGTTCCAGACTAAGGCTGGAACGGGGCCAACTATGATTGGAAAAGGGGCAATGAGGCCAGCAGTGTCCCTGAGTGCCCCTGAGTTCCCACACTCATCTGTCTTGTTCCAATGACAGGAAACCAGTAATGACCCAGTAACATGCACAGACAGGATCATAGGACTTGGAGATCTTTATATTTCATGATTTTACCTTTTCCAGGGAGAATTTCACTCAGGAGCAGGTGGGTTACATGGCCATCACCAGCCCACACTTCCCTCCGAGTCTGGGGCTGGTCACCTCTGCTAGCCAGACCTTGGAAAGCCAGGCCCATCTCTGTTCCCACCTAGTTAGTGTGACACAAAGAAGCCCAGAGCTACCCTCCCTGGTCACTATCCTCTCAGAAGCACCCAGTGCACCTCTAAGTTAAAATCAAACCTTGCGACCTGCCTAGTGACTGGTCAAGGACAAGGGCCATGTGGGCAGGAGAGATTGGGGGTGGGGATCCTTTCCCCTGCCCTTTCTTCTGAGGCAGTTCTATACGCATTCTCCTGAAGTCTTCAGAAAGAAGGGCCAATCCAATTTTCTGCGTCTTCTAGCTTTGTGTAGTTGTCCGTAATCCTCTTTTCAAAATAGGCTTATCATCTTCCTATCTCCCTGCTTTATTTGTGAAGCTAGGAAGCTAAGGCAACCCTGCAACACATTTGCCATCATAACCACCCCTGGAGAAGCGGCACTGTCGTGATTCCAAGGTCAGGGTTGTGGGTCTCTGCAGGAACCAGTCAGCCCTGTACACCGTGCCCCCCCCCCCCCCCGCCCCCCAGCCAGGCAGCTGACACCAGTGGAAAGCTGCTGGGCCTGGAGCCAAGAGGCTGGGTCAGTGGGCCTGGCAGGACTGCAGATGTAGTGACATTGTGCAGCCTGTCTGACCAGTGTGGAGGCCTCTGCACTCCATGGAGGCTGTGCCCAGGCCAGGGGTCAGTGGGCATTGCTGGTGCAGTTCTCTGATTGTGAACCTGCTGGTTATCCACAAAGATTCCCGTGGAGAACTCACTTCTCTGCTTTCAAACCTTGTTGCTCCCCTTAGATATGCAGGAAGAAGGCAGGCAGCCAGAGACTCAGAGCCATCCTGGGGACCCTCCACAGAGCCAGAGGCTGTCTCAGGCCGCTGTGACCTCCCTACTCCTGTCTCCCCTGTAAAATTGGGATGACAACCCCACCTCCTGTCATTATAGAGATGAGCCCTGGACGTGGGCTGGCCTGTCTGGCATGGTGCTCTGCATTTCATGGCATTACTCACTCAGAACTCACAGCCATGTGGCAACATCCTTTCGTGGCACCCCATGTCACAGAGGACTGAAGCAGGCCTGTGAGGCACGTCACTGCCGAGCTCACTGCCATAAGCTTGGGAATGACGCTGTTGACATCCCGTAAATAACTCACCCAGGCCCAGGAATGACAGGAGCAGGTGTTAGGAGCCCCCTGCCCCCAGGACATGGGCAACACACGCCTGGGGCTGCCCCTTTGCTTTGTAACAATTTATGTGCACTAAGTGACATGTAACATGTAAATGCTCTGTGTGTACAAATGTAACACCTATAAGTAGCCACCCACCTCACCAGCTCCCACCTCTGACCCCTAACCTGTGCACCTGCACCCGCCTCTCCCAGCCTGGATGGAGGGACCACCTGTCCTCTGCCCCCCACTGTGTGTTAGTTTCCTGGAGTTGTAACAAATACCACAAATGGGGTGCCTTAAACAAAGACGTTTATTTCTCACAGTCCTGGAGGCCAGAAGTCCAAGACCAAGGTGTTGGCAAGGCTGGTTTCTCCTGCAGCCTCTCCTTAAGGCCTCACATGGTGGTCCCTCTGTGTGTGTCTGTGTCCCAATGTCCTCTTCTGATAGAACACTAGTCCTATTGGATTAGCACCACTCATGTGACCTCTGTAAAGATCTTATCTCCAAAGAGAGTCACATTCAGAGTCAATGTATGAATTCGGGAGACACATTTAGCCCACAATACCCACCACGTGCTCTCTTGTCTCCTACTTGCCACCAGCCTGGGTTATGGGCTAACCTGTGCCTTGATTTTTCTCATTTTAGAGTCTTTTCATTCACACTTGCTCGGTTTCAGTCATGAGAAACGTTTGTACCGTGTGAGGTCTCCTGAGACCTCCTCTTTCTAAGATTCATCCTTGTGGTTGTGAGCAGTTACTGTCTGTCCTTTTCAGGGCTCTCTCTTGTCCTGGTCTACGAAGTCCTGCCCAGTTCTTGCAGAAGTGAGCAAGGCGGCTGTGAGCGTCGTTGCCTGTGTGTCCTGATGCATCTCCACAGGGATCTGGCTCAGGAAGACCAGGTCAGATGTCTGGCCTCTCCAGCTGTGCGATAATAAATGTGGCTGCTGCAAGCCAGGCCGTTTTTAGTGATTTGTTACAACAGCAATTGGAAACAGAGACACTCATGTTAAGATATGTTGTTTTTACCCTATCACATGTGAATTTCAAGATGATGGAAATCCATCAGACACTGCCTTTAAAATAATGATCTCACTGTGCCAACCTGTTCAAGCAAGAGTCTGTGTTCTGGAAGCTTTTAGTTTGACACTGAAAACTAAAGCATTTAATATATTTAACTTTCCTTTATGTGTTAGATATTCGCTATTAGATATTTGCTGTCCTTGTAGCTGAGGTTTCTTAAGAAGCTGCTTCATCTGTCACGGCTGCTTTCTATTTCGCGAAAGGACTGTGCTCTGCTTACCAGAAATTACTGAAATGTGACGGTAGCCTGTGATTTGGGGAACACGCCTTTCCCCAGGTCTCCTAACTGAGCCACAAGAGGCATTTTGCCTGAGATTGGGGGGCGGGGGCAGAAGTGGGGTAGCAGCCCTAATGCCTCTACACTTGGTAGGGCAGGGCAGGCCCCCAGGTGTGGCTGCGACTCACTGTCCTTATTGGTGGGAAGCTGGAGGGCAGCTTTCTGCGTCTCCAACTCCTGGATGCAGCCTGCCTCACTCGGTGAGGCATGGTGACACTTCTGCAGGACTCTCACTGGCAGATCCATCCTGTCCTCGGTTTCCCTCCAACTCCCTCTGCACCCATGGATGGAGCTGCGCGCGAGGTGCGCCTGCTGCCACTGTGCCGGCACCTGTGACCCTGGAGGACCCAGGTCTGCCACTGAGGCGCCAAGTTAAACACAGGAGGGCTTTCAAGTTCTGGGCACCGGGCGGCCGGCCCGATAAAGGACCTTTCCGGTGTGTTTAGGCAGGTGTCCTCAGGCCCAGCTCGCTCGCGCCGCCCCGCGGACGTCCTCCTAGGGCACCGTGACTCTCCGCGCTCGGGCACACTTGTCCCCTCCGTCAGGTACGCCAACGCGGTCTCTCTCGGGGTCGCCGATCGCCTGGCAGAGGAGGAAGCGGGCGGCGGGCCAGCGCTGGGGAGCCGGCTGAGCGCTGCTGCCAGCCGGGGCCCCGCGCACACTTGTACCCACCTTCGCGCGGCTTGGCGCCTGCGGGCTCCCGTACGCCAGGCGTCTCCATGGCGACCGCGTGTGTCTCGCAGCCTCCATTGTTGGGCTGCACCTTCTCCGCGCTCGCGGCGCCGGGGCGTGCTAGTGGGGGGAGCGCCACCGGTGAGGCTGGGGGGGGGCGCCACCGGTGAGGCTGGGGGGGGGCGCCACCGGTGAGGCGGGGAGGGGGCGCCACGGGTGAGGCGGGGGGGGGGGCGCCACCGGTGAGGCTGGGGGGGGCGCCACGGGTGAGGCGGGGAGGGGGCGCCACGGGTGAGGCGGGGGGGGGGCGCCACGGGTGAGGCGGGGAGGGGGGCGCCGCTGGTGAGGCGGGGAGGGGGGCGCCACGGGTGAGGCGGGGAGGGGGGCGCCGCTGGTGAGGCGGGGAGGGGGGCGCCACGGGTGAGGCGGGGAGGGGGGCGCCACGGGTGAGGCGGGGAGGGGGCGCCACGGGTGAGGCGGGGAGGGGGGCGCCACGGGTGAGGCGGGGAGGGGGGCGCCACGGGTGAGGCGGGGAGGGGGGCGCCACGGGTGAGGCGGGGAGGGGGGCGCCACCGGTGAGGCGGGGAGGGGGGCGCCACGGGTGAGGCGGGGAGGGGGCGCCACCGGTGAGGCGGGGAGGGGGCGCCACGGGTGAGGCGGGGGGGGGGGCGCCACCGGTGAGGCTGGGGGGGGGCGCCACCGGTGAGGCGGGGAGGGGGCGCCACGGGTGAGGCGGGGGGGGGGGCGCCACTCGTGAGGCGGGGAGGGGGGCGCCACGGGTGAGGCGGGGAGGGGGGCGCCGCTGGTGAGGCGGGGAGGGGGGCGCCACGGGTGAGGCGGGGAGGGGGGCGCCACGGGTGAGGCGGGGAGGGGGGCGCCACCGGTGAGGCTGGGGGGGGCGCCACCGGTGAGGCGGGGAGGGGGCGCCACCGGTGAGGCGGGGAGGGGGGCGCCACTCGTGAGGCGGGGAGGGGGCGCCACTCGTGAGGCGGGGAGGGGGGCGCCACGGGTGAGGCGGGGAGGGGGCGCCACTCATGAGGCGGGGAGGGGGCGCCACGGGTGAGGCGGGGAGGGGGCGCCACTCGTGAGGCGGGGAGGGGGGGCGCCACGGGTGAGGCGGAGAGGGGGGCGCCGCGGGTGAGGCGGGGAGGGGGGCGCCGCGGGTGAGGCGGGGAGGGGGGCGCCACGGGTGAGGCGGGGAGGGGGCGCCACCGCTGAGGCGGGGAGGGGGGCGCCACTCATGAGGCGGGGAGGGGGCGCCACGGGTGAGGCGGGGAGGGGGCGCCACCGCTGAGGCGGGGAGGGGGGCGCCACTCATGAGGCGGGGAGGGGGCGCCACGGGTGAGGCGGGGAGGGGGCGCCACTCATGAGGCGGGGAGGGGGGGCGCCACCGCTGAGGCGGGGAGGGGGGCGCCACTCATGAGGCGGGGAGGGGGGCGCCACGGGTGAGGCGGGGAGGGGGGCGCCACCGGTGAGGCTGGGGGGGGGCGCCACTCATGAGGCGGGGAGGGGGGCGCCACGGGTGAGGCGGGGAGGGGGGCGCCACGGGTGAGGCGGGGAGGGGGGCGCCACCGGTGAGGCTGGGGGGGGGGCGCCACTCATGAGGCGGGGAGGGGGCGCCACGGGTGAGGCGGGGGGGGGGGAGCGCCGCGGGTGAGGCGGGGAGGGGGGCGCCACGGGTGAGGCGGGGAGGGGGGCGCCACCGGTGAGGCTGGGGGGGGGCGCCACTCATGAGGCGGGGAGGGGGCGCCACGGGTGAGGCGGGGGGGGGGGGAAGCGCCGCGGGTGAGGCGGGGAGGGGGCGCCACTCATGAGGCGGGGAGGGGGGCGCCACGGGTGAGGCGGGGGGGGGGGGGGGGAAGCGCCGCGGGTGAGGCGGGGAGGGGGCGCCACGGGTGAGGCGGGGAGGGGGCGCCACTCATGAGGCGGGGAGGGGGGCGCCACCGCTGAGGCGGGGAGGGGGGCGCCACGGGTGAGGCGGGGGACACCGCAGGTCGGGGGTGCCGCAGATGATTGGCGAAAGGGGGTTGGGAGTGAGGGGAGCGCCCAGCTGGCGGCTGAGAGTGTCAGGGCAGCAAATGGAAGGCAGTGCCCAGTACAGGCTGTGCCCCCAGGTGTGGACCATCAGGTCCCAGTGGAGAAACCGAGGCAGGGCGCGCTGGGCACCTGGAGCAGCCTCCGGACCCCGCGGAGCCCGCTCTGCTCAGTTTTAGGTCTCGTGTTTCGCTCTGGTTTTCAGACACTTTCCCTGTTGAAGGCCCCCTCCCCTCATAGCCTGTGGAGACTCAGAAAAGAACTAACCAGAGAAAGGCCAGGGTCTCCACTAAGTTCCGGGCTACAGGGGTCACACATGTGGGTCTGTCCCCACTCCACAACTGCATGACCTTTAGGCAGTTCCTTAACTCCGGGTTTTATGGAAGGAATACACTGGTTCCGGACTTTGAAGCACTCTGACCTGTTTTCCTTTGCGTTCTGGAATTAAACATTGTATCTCAGAACTCAAAACTTGTATACAGAGTGAGGAGTAGAACATTTTAATCTGAACCTTCTTGTATCCCTGGGGATTTTTTTTTTTTTACAAATTTAAAAGTAAAGTTTATGACATTGTTGATTAAAAACGAGGGTTTTGTAAGCGGGTGAAATCGTTACAGATCTGCAGCTCAGCTAGCCCGTCCTGCCTGTGACCATGGCAGTGTTCCTGATTGTGGTTGTGTCCCTCCTCATCCCCAGGTGACTCCAGACCGAGGAGGATGCGTGGTGACCCTGGAGAACTGCGTCCTCCCAGCTGACAGATGGAGGGAACCGGCTCTGGAGCTGCTGATGTGGAGAGCAGAGCTCAGGCTGGGAGCCCGCCCGCCTCCCCCTCCAGCGACATTCACCAGGGTGTTAGGGAGGTCGTCTTTTCTTCCTCACCAGTTCTAGACTTGAGTCAACGGGGTCTTCACCATTTAGGAGACATCCTTAAAATACCCACACTTAAAGTAAGTGGGCGTGTCTCGGTGTTGTGCGCGTGGGAACAGCTCACCCTCAGGCTTTTACTTGTAGGCTTCTCTGCAGGAGAGAAAGTCTAGAACGAGATAGAGGAAGGTTGGCTCAGGACGTCCTGTGCTGCGCACAACAAATGAGGAATTCAGGCATGGGGACCAGCCAATAGGAACACCTCATAGGGTCAGACTCTGATATCCTCTCCTCAAGAAAGTGCTGGGCACCAAGAAGCTTGTGGTAGACACCTCTGCCGAAAACACCCTCAGTCTCTTATTTAAAACACAAAACCCCTAGCTCAGCCGGCCAGTGTGGCTCAGTGGATGGAGCATTATCCCGTGGACTGAGAGGTCCCTGAGTGCTGGGGTTGCAGGCTCGATCCCCAGTGGGGGGCATGTGAGAGGCAGCCAATCAATGTTTCTATCTCTCCCTAAAAAATCAACAAAAACATATTTAAAAAATAATGATTAAATAAAACACACAACCCCTAAAAAACTCAGGCAACACTGAAACAGGGAAAAACTTTCTCGCCCACACTGCTGATTTTACCTTGTGCCTGGTGCCTTCGCCAGGTGAGCCCCTGCCTGCTTGTAATCTAGCAAGCTGATATCATCACCTGTGATTTCCAGAATACGTTTCCATCAGAGCCCAGCTTGATGGGAGACGGCGAAGGTGTTCACCAGGGGTGCTCACTGCCTGGTAGTCACATTGATTTCCTTCCACCTCGTTTGTCTTCATCTGGAAGATAGGAATAGAGTGTTTTTATGGGTTGTGACAAGAATTCGGTGATAATGCACAGAAAGCACATGGCCACAACATAGTACACACTCGACATGTCGCACTGTTAGGGTGTTGATTGGCATTTTCGAGTGCTTTTACAGAAGCTTAGATTTTGAGAGGCTGCCTATTTACTGAACCCGCCATTGTGTATCCTGTACCCTGGTTTTGCCATCAGAGCCAATGGGCTTGTCGTTCCTTTTCTTAGCACCTGATGACTCATCATTTGAGTCATCAGGGCTCCTGTAATGCACGGGTCCCTTTTCGTGAGGCAAATACTGTTTTGAGTGAGGAACATAAGGTTTATGTTACCTTCATGAGTAAAGGAAGAGGAGGAAATTTGAAAACTCTTCTCTAAGCTTAATAAAGAAACTCCATAACTCTTTATGCCTGTCAAAAAACAGGTATACATTTTATTACCATGGCAAAAAAAGCACTGAGCAAGGCGTCCGTTGAGCTGTGGGCTCTTAGAATTATGGGCGCATCTGTGGAGTCAGCAATAACTCTGCCAAAGACCCCGGTGATTCTGCAGTACAGGAAGGGCCCCATCTGCCCACGGTCTTGGGACCAAGGGGGAGGGATGGGCTGTGTGACACCGCCAACTCACCATTTACCAAACTGTCTGTGACAAAGAATAGTGCCCCCTCTTCCTTCTGATGGTTCTGGGACTGTTCTTTCGTGGCTGCCGATCACAGGTAATGCCACAGCAGATAGCTCAGTGTGTGTCCTTCAGTTATTTCCTTTGGATGAGTCCCTGGGACCAGATGTGGCTGTTCCTTCACTGGGCAGAGTTGCCATGGGGCCCAGGAGGGAGAAGAGTGATGTAAACACTCTGGGAGTGAGTTTGGTGTCGAAGGGTATTTTAGAAATGGCATGTGCTCATGGTGGCATCTGAAGGTCAGGGCGCGCTCTCAGCCCCGACAGTGGCACACTGGTCCTGGCGAGCCTCATTTTCAGTCACGTGGCTACTGTTTAAAGGTAAAATGTGACGGTTTCTCCTCTAACTCGATATGTGTTATTGCAGTGGCTAGTACCTCTTTTGGAAATGCTTTTCAGACGTACTGTGTTTTAAAATTCAGTTGGTTGACAAAATGTGGTCTTTTCCTCCCACGAAAGCAATTGCATCTTCAGAGAAATGCCCTCTGCACAATCCCGAGAGACTTCTTTCAGCTGCTGCCAAACCTCACGTGGCTGGACCTGCGGCACAACAGGATCCAGGCGCTTCCGCCAGGGATTGGCTCGCACAGGTCAGGCACATTCACGTTCCGGACCTGAAGTCCCCCTCCCTGTGAAATGTCCGAGTGCCCACTCTATTGCCGCTCAGCTCCTGCGCCTGGTTGAATTTTGACTTCAGAATAGAACCATTTAGTGGTATTTTTAAGGCTATGAGGTGTGACTGAATGTACAAATGCATGTAACTGTCATTGTAACTCGGGACACTTAGTAGCACAGAGGATGCCTGTGGCCACGGAGCCTTTGCTGGACCGACCCTGTGGGTTTTGCAATGTCTGGTTGCCGTCTCTGACTCTTTGTGTGAAGCTGCCCAAAGGGTCTTCAACCAGCGCCTCATCTCCTGTGGGCCCATGTGTAACGGTTCCTGGTGAAAACAAGAAATTCTTCCCATTTTGGAAGAGTGAATGTGTGCACTCCTCCTACTTTGACTCCAGGGATTCCCAGCACCCCCACTTCCAGGACAGATGCTATGCCTCCCGCTCTGCTCCTCACCTGGGCCCTCCCCAGCAGCCGGTCATCAGCTAGCGTCCTCACTGCCTCTGGGAGCCACACTCCCTGAGGTCCCCTCCCCTCCTGGCCCTTTGCCTTCTGTACCCAATCCCTCTGCCAGTGTTTCTTAACCTCTGAAACCTTCTGAGAAAAATTTCAGGCTCTTCTTCTGTGTCAGTGCATCCGGACAAAGGAAGCACATGCAAAGGCCCCGGGGAAGGGCATATGCTTGGAGATGTGAGGGATGCAGGGAGGTCAGTGTGGTGCAGCAGAGGAGGGGACAACTGGTAAAAGACACGTTGAAGGAGGGTCAGCCAAGCTTGTAGGTCACAGTTGCTGCTTTGGATTTCATTTTGAAAGAGGGTTTGAGTGGATTGGGGTGGCATTTGACTCGGCTTTCAGATCACTGTACAGAGGAGGCCACTTAGGAGGCCGCTGCAGCCGTCCTGCGAGAGGTGGCGCCTGGGCAAGGCTGAACACTGCAGAGCTGCGGCTGGACCGGGAGCTGGCAGGATTCAGGCTGGAAGAAGAGAGGTGTGCAAGGGCGACCCCTAGTTCTGACACGAGTAACTGTCCGCAGTAGCCGGGAGGCCACTGTGAACCGACAGCACAGGCCTGCAGGGGGCCCTTCACGTGCCTGACTAGCTCACCATCTAAAAGCAACTTCAAGAAGTGAGTGTTCTGTCCCATGTAACGGCAAGAGAAGATGTCTCTGATCTTTGGTGCCTTCTCAGGCTCTTCGAGGAAGAAGCAAATGTCGCGTGATAAGCTGGCACCTCCCGCAGGACAGAGGCACAGCCAGGAGCCCTTTTCCTGGAGCCCTCGGGGATGGCGGGGTCTGCGGAGCACATCACTGCCGGCAGTTGTGTCCCTGGTTGCACAGAGCTGTGTCCTTGGCTCCAACCAAGGCAGGAGCACTTGCCAGGTCTGGTCTGCAGCTGGTTGTGTGACAAGTGGCCAAGTGTTCTCTGGGCTGCTTCCTCCTTTGCCCTTACAGCTGACCCAAGTGGCTTCCTGAGTCCTTGGAGCCCCTTCATGGTTCAGGGTGGCCTGGGAAGGCTTTGTTCTTCACAAGGTCACTGTCTGTGTTTAGGATAATTTAGTGCTTTTTGTCCGTAAATTGTGTTCGCATTAACGCAGTTCTGGAGAGTAATTGCTACTCCAAAGGGAAAAGTAAAATGTATTCCCATAAACACTATTCTTCTAAAATATGAACACAGTTCTCAAATTTTGGAATCTTTGATTTTGCCAAAGCCAGCTGCTTAATGTTGTTTAAGATATAATTTTGCATGTGTTTTATAACCCATTTATTACATCATTAAAAGTAGAGCAGCCTGCCGGAGACCTGAAATACATTAATTAGAAATTTTAAGTAATTACGGGCTTATTAAAAGCTTTAAGCTTTTCATAAAACCTAACGAAAACAAACCCGAATGAATGTTCTCCCGCCTCAGTGTCGGGGGCATGAGCTTGCGGCCAGAGCAGAAGGTTTAGAAGTGGGCATCAGTCTGTGTGCCCCTTAAGCAGGTGGCTCCAGTCCAGTCCATAGATGGCAATGTCCAGTGGAAAATCTGGGAAATGAAATAATGGGTTAGCGATGGTTGTCATTTAAAGTTCCACAGCATTTTTAAAAAAATTTTTTTTCTTTATTGATATTTTTAGAGAGAGGAGAAGAGAGACGGAGAGAGAGATAGAAACATCAATGAGAGAGAACATCGATTGGCTGCCTCCTGCATGCCCCACGCTGGGGATCGGGCCCACAACCTGGGCATGTGCCCTGACTGGGAATCGAACCTGCAACCTCTTGGTGCGTGGGTTGACGCTCAACCACTGAGCCACACCAGCCAGGCTGCCCAGTATATTTTAATGTGTTATTATATAAGGTGGAAAAAACCCTACTACTCTTTCCGGTCGATAGTTGACTATCATGCTCCAGCCCCCAAACCAACCACCAACAAGAACGTTCCTAGTGTTGAGAGGTGAGGCCTTTTGCCGTCTGCAGTTCTGCTGGGGAATCTCAGGAAGCCCAGATGCTGTCCCCAGTGGCTGCTTCATGTCACCAGAAGTCAAGGGGCTAAACCCAAAAGCAGCTGAAGTAACGTTTCCAGGAAAGTAAATAGAAAGCAAACAGTCAGACCCCTGGGCTGAAGACACTGATGAGCCAGGGTATTTGCGATCCTTTTACGCCAGATTTTAGCTGGTGACCCCTGAAAAGTGAAGGAGAAAGGGAAACTGCCGTTAATAGATGGCACAGTCTTAATTCAAGTGAAAAACAAGAGGCAAGAGGCAGAGCTGTGGGTGGAGCTCAGTATGAACTAGTGATTCCTTCATCAGCATTCAATCAGTACATTTTTATTGGGTCCCTTTGGCTCTCCTGTCTGACTGTGATCTCTCTTGTGCTAAATTTTGCAAGTCATATTAATATGTCAAATATGGGGAGAAACACTCCGAAACCAGGTTTCTTTGCTTTGGGACTTTGAGCCCCGAGTATGTGAATGACCATCTCTAAGCAGGGCGGATGCACTATGCAATACGAGCCTCCCCGATGTTCTTGAGTGAAACAGCCTTTTCACAGAGCACCCCAAAACACTGGGATTCTTTAGCACACACCTCAGGAGCCCCCGAGTGTGGTGATCAACTCACTGGGCACCAGCCATGCGGCACGGGTTCTCAGCCAGGCGAATTTGCCCCCTCTGCACACATGTGGCAATGTCTGCAGATTTTGTGGTTGTCACAGCTGGGGAGGGTGTGGCATCTTGCGGGGACAGGCGTAGATGCTGCTGTAAACACCCTGCAAGCACAGCCCAGTTCCCAACCAAGAACTGCCTGTCCCAGATATCGTCAATGCCAGGTGAGAGCCTGGCCCCGATGCTGAGACAGTAGGTCGTGCACATGGTCACTCTGTATGTCTGCAGCGCTGCTCGCTTAAGGAGAAGACGGATGAAGAAATGTGGGATAGCTTAGGGACCGGGACTTGATTTTCTGCATTTTAAAACGATATATGTTTCGTTTTGTTTTAAAGGTATCTGAAAACTTTGCTTTTAGAAAGAAATCCTATCAAAATGTTACCTGTGGAGCTGGGTAAGTGTTAAAACAATGAAATAAAAGGTGATTTATAATGGGGTCTTGTGAGGTTGCTGGAACCCACAGTGGACGCGCCAGGCGTGGCCCCGAGGGGAGGCCGGCTGATGTTTCACATCTCTCTGCCCCTGTCCTCAGCCTCTCAAGAGCTGTTAGTGCTACAAGTGATTTCTACACATAGAGTGACACATAGCTTAGTGTGAGAATTGATCAAACCTTTGGGCCCAATGCACAGCGCAGGGAAAGTGTCATTGTGTAACTAGGCCTGTGCCCTCCCGATCCGTCCCTCCTCCCCTCGTGCTCGGTGCCACGTGGTAAGTGTCAGTGCACCTTCTCCAGCCTCCCGCTGGCCTCCCGTCTGCGAGTGTGTGCCCGCCACGCTCTGACTTCCAGCCTCTCTGTCGTCAGCCTTGGGCAGGTGTCACTGGATGTCGCTTTTTTGTCCAGTCAGATGGTCTCTGCCTTTTAACTGAAGTGTTCAGTCCATTACATTTAACGTCATTATTAACGTGAATGGATTTAGGTCTGTCATTTCAGTTTGCTTCAGTTTACCACCTTAGGTCTTTCTTCTCTGTTCCTACTTTTCAGTTAACTTTGTGTTGATTGGGTATTTTTTATATGTCCATTTAAAATATTAAATTGACTTTTTAGCTCTACCTCTCACATTCCTTTAGTGGTTTAGTGGTTGCTCACATCCTTAGAGGCAGTACTGTCTCATGTCACAGAAACGTCATCACCCGATAGCCTGCACCCCGTCCTGTCCATGGTGTCTGCATGCGGACTAAGCCACAGTTCAGTGGTACCATGTTTGCTTTAAGCAGTCACATGTATTTTAAAGAAATTAAGAGAAAAAAATCTTTTGTTTACATATTATGTCTCTCTTGCAGTGGGCGGTGGTGAAACCCTGTCCAGGTCTTTAGCCTTGGCTGGGCTGTTTGCAGTCTGTCCTGTGCATGTGAAGCTCAAGGCTCCACCAGAAGTTTGCCTGCAGGATTTACATGCACAGCCGCAGGGCTCCCCGCTGCAGTCCCTTCTTTCCGAGACACTCCTCGTCACTTTGTAGCTGCGGTGGCAGCTCTGAATCCCGGCCTCCAGTCATCATGGCGGTCCAGGTTCCTCCGTGTTCTCACTGCCTGTGTGGTGGTCTCAGGGCAGAAACCCACTCAGACACTACTGCGGAGTCTGGGATCGGTTTCTTCCTGAGGCTGCCCCCTTCCCTGCAGGTGGTTTCCATTCTGCCCAGGTTCTGTTATCCACCAGATAATTCATCTAAGTGGAGCTGCTCGAACATTACCGGGAGCAGAACCCCCTTGGCGCACAGCTTGCACCATTGTTGTGGTGGGCATGTATAGATTGCACTGTGAAGACTTGACTTAGGACAGTCACGGAAGTGGGTTCTTTGACCACCTCCCAGACGGAGCACCACAGTCATGTTTCTCTCCATCATCCCCCACCTTCTGTGCTACTGTGGTCATAGGTTTGCTTCATGTGTTGTAACTCCACAGACACTTTACACTGTCAGCACTTGCTTGTGTTTCCTCACAGTCACCCTCTTGCTGCTCTTTGTTTCGTGAAGTCCGTGCTTCCATCGGAGATGACTCTCTTGGTCTGAAGATCTCTCTTTAGTGTCATTTGGTTTGTTGCTAATGAATTGTTCAAGTTTGTTTTGTTTTTTTAATTTAAAAAAAAAAGACAGCTTTTTTTTTTTCATCATTTCTGGAAGGATAATTTGGCTGAGTATGGGAATCTAGATGTTAGGAATTTTTCAGTAAAAACATCTTTATTGTCTTCTGACTACCATCATCAGTTAAAAAGTCAGCTGTCAGTCTTATTGGTTGTCTTTAAAATTAATATATCTTTTTCCTCAGACTGCTTTAAAATTGTCCTTTTTGTATTTAATTTTCAGAAATTTGTCTGAATGCGCCTAGGTATGGTTTTCTTTGTTTGGGGTTCACTGAGCTCCTCCAATCGGTTTATTGATATCTTTAATCAGATTTGGAAAATCCCTGTTATTGATATCATTTCTTTAGATGTTACTTCTTTCTCATTCTCATTTCCTCTTCTTCTGGGACTCCAGTTACACACGTTTAGATTTTGATTCTGTACCACATGCCTTGAAAACTCTCTTTTCCCCAGTTCTTTTTTCTCTGTGTGTTCTAGTTTGTATTGCTTTCCGTTGAGCTGCCTTGAGTTCATGAATTCTGTTTTCTGCTGAGTCCAGTCTGCTGTTTAACTTAACCATTCAGTTCAGTGTTTTTCAATTGGACTTGAGACTGTGTGTGTGTGTGTGTGGGGGGGGGGGGTTAAATTACTAATTTATTTTTCTTGATTGTTTTATGTCAATTCAGAAGATCTGTTTCCACCTGCATCAGCTCTGGAGTATCGTCCTCTGTATTTTCGAAGGATAGTTTGCTGAACTCAGATGTGGCCCCACTGTCCTTTGGCCACCGCTGCTTTCAACGGGAAGTCAGCTCTTGATCTTAGTGTTACTGTTCCCTTGTAGGTGATGAGTTGTTTTTCTCTTGCTGTTTTTAAGATTATGTCTTGGTCTTTCAGTAGTTTGACTGTGATGTTTCTAAGTGTGAATCCCTTGTTTATATTACTTGGAGTTTGTTAAGCTTCTTAGATGTATAGATTAATGTTTATCATCAAATTGGGTCTATGTTGGCCATGGTTTGCTCGGATTTTTTCTAATCTTTTCTTTTGCTCCTCCTGTGACTTTTGTTATATGTATATTAGCATTCTGGATGTTCACACGCCTCTGAGTTCTGTTGTTGTTTTAATCATTTTTCTCTTAGACATCAGATTGGATGCTTTTTATTTCTCCATCTTCAAGTTGACTTGTTTCTTTTGTCATCTTGTATCTGCTATTGAGTCTAGTGAATTTTTCATTTCAGTCTTTATAATTTTAAACTCTAAAACTGCTGTTTGGTTTTTTAATAATTTCTATTTTTATTGACATTCTATAGTTGAGTCATTTTACTATATTTTCCTTTAATTATTTAAATATATATATTTTATATTTCTTTGAACATTTATAACAACTGTTTTGAAGTTTTTGCCTGCTAAATCCAACATTTGAGCCTTCTTGAAAATAGTTTCTTTGACTGTTTGTTTCCTGAGTATAAGTCACATTTTACTTTTCTTTGCCTGCCTTAGAGTTGTTTGTTGTTGTTAAAAATAGGCACTTTGGATGCCTATTTATAGTAGTTCTGTATGGTGATTTTACCAGAGGGCTATTGTTGCTGCTTCTGTTTATTTTCTTTATTTAATTTTCTTCATTTGTCAGCAGACTGGTCTTAATCTATAGACTCTGTCGCCCCTGCAGAGTTTTGTGTTTTTTTTTAAAACAAATCTCAAACATCTGTCATATCATTTTACCCCGAATTTTCAATTGGATCTTTTTTCCCCTAATGTACAAAGAATTGCCGTCCTCTCCTGTTTTCACTGCACAGGAAGGGGTAAAATGCTGATGGTTCTCCCCCGGCAGGGAACGTGACTACGCTCCGAGCACTGAACCTGAGACACTGCCCTCTGGAGTTCCCTGCTCAGCCTGTGGTGCAGAAGGGCCCGGCCGCCATCCTGAGCTACCTGCGGGCCTGTGCGGCCAGGCCGTCCTCCCCGCAAGGCCCAGGTTCTCAAGGTTGGTAAGACAATCATTATGACAGACTGCATAAAAACTGCATAGGAATGAGTGCTTTTGAAAATCAGGGCCCAGGGCCCCTCTCTCTTTAATCATGTTCCCCCAGACTCTCACAGCACCTGATTCATACCAGGTCTCCTCACAGCAGGGCCATGTCGTTCCCTGGCTCTGTGCTCATGGGTTTGCATCCCTGGTGCCCAGAGTCGAGCCTGTCAGGGGCCAGTTTGGGTAAAAGTTCACTGGGTGGAATATAACAAAAAAGTCCTCATCCCCAAGCACCATCAGGTAACTGTTTCAAATTGCTTGGTCCATTAGACAACGATTGCCCATTTTGTAAACTATTTTTCTTTAAAAACACCGACCCCAAGCATGTAGTTGTCAGGAGCACATAGCTTTGGGAGCGTGCTGTCCTGTGCACGCATGTGTCGTGTCCTGTGTGGCACCAGTGCATGCGTGCACAGGACAGCACGCTCCCAAAGCTACCCATGGGATCCCACAGTAGACCCAGGCCACGGGATGTGCGGGGCACACGCAGTAATGACTGCACTTGACATCGAAGCCTTTACCTGTTTCATACTCTGAGCTCTCCTCCTGGACATTTTGTTTAGAGAAAGGCTTTTTCTTAAAGAAAAAAAATTTAAACCACTGATATTGAAAAATATTTATTAGAATTTAATGTCTTAATAAGTAATAAACATTTAAGGTCATTGTTGTTCTTATGACCCTTCAACCCCATTGCAGTTTTCGTTTCTTACATTGAAGTCTGTACCTATTTAATATAATAGACATGTAATCAACAAGAAAAAAAGGTAGAAAATAGCCAAATAGACTAGGCTTGAAATGCTGAAAATGAATCCACTTTTTGCAAGAAGTAACTTACAGTGGTCAAAGCTGTTTAAAATGTGTCTAAGGACACAAAGGTGGGTGAATCTACATGCCTGGGAAGGACGTGTGGCCAAGGCTTGGTGGGCCCCCAGCCTGTCGGGGTGTCTGTGTCCTGCTGCAGTGCAGGCCTCCACGCGGCCAGGCGACACCCGTCTGTGGGACACCGCGGCTCCAAGGCCGCAGGCAGGATCCAGCAAAGATAGTGGATGAATTCGTTTCAGGCCAATTTGCTCTCAAGTAATTTACCTGGAGTTAGAGAGAAAAATGTTTGAAAGTTAACAAAAGCATTGCCAGGTGAAAACAACAGGCACATGGGCTAAACATTGATTAGAAATAAAGATGACCAAAAGATGTGGGGAGGAAGCAGAAAAATACGTTTACTCACACGCGTGGACATGGACTGTGAGAGCCTGGGCGGAGGGAGTGACCCTGGATCCGCTTGAGGCCCGGGCCAGGGCGGCAGCACAGCCGACTGACTCGGCGTTTTCATTTTACTAGAAATTTCACCCACTAAAACGATGAACCTAAGTCAGCTGCCACATTCCGGGCTGGGCTTGCCCGAAGAATGTGCGCCCAACAGAGAAACCACTAGTTGCCGGGGGCCAGAGGGGACCAGGTTGAAAGAAGCAGGGGACCTGTCTCCGTCTGTTGAAAGACTGGACCTGAGTGAGCTCAGGAGGACCCCCGACTCCTGGGAGTACTGGCAGAGCGAGGAGGAGATCAGGCGCTTCTGGAAGCTGCGGCAGGAGATCGTGGAGAAGGGGCAGGCGGGAGTTCTGGGAAACCAGCTCCTGGCGATGGAGTTGCCTCCAAACCTCCAGGCTGTGCTGCGCACCCGGGAGGAAGTGCGCCCCAGTCCCAGACACATCCTCAGGTACGATTCGAAGCCGGGGTGTGTCGTCTGGTCTTTGCGAAGTGGAAAAACTACTCTGCAACTATCTTTTAAAAGATCAGGGAGCTGTGCGTCGGCATCGCCATCACTGGTTGCGCAATGGTACCAGCCTGGCTTAGGGTTAAAGTCACCCGACATGGGCTCCAAGGAGGCAGTAACACAAGAGAAAAGCCCAGATCCCATGTGTCTGAGTGTGTGTGTGTGTATGCACATGGTCTATGTATGGTGTGTCAATGCAGTGTGTTGTGTGTGTGTTGAATGTATGGTGTATGTGTATGGTATGTGTACATGTGCATGCTGTGGGCATATGTTGCGTGTGTATGCTGTGCGTGAAGTGTTGTGTGTGCATGCTGTGTGAAGTACTGCGTGTGCATGCTGTGTGTGAAGTGTTGCGTGTGCATGCTGTGTGTGAAGTGTTGCGTGTGCATGCTGTGTGTGAAGTATTTCGTGTGCATGCTGTGTGTGAAGTGTTGCGTATATATATATGCTGTGTGAAGTGTTGCGTGTACATGCTGTGTGTGAAGTATTTCGTGTGCATGCTCTGTGTGAAGTGTTGCATGTATATGCTGTGTGAAGTGGTGCGTGCGCATGCTGTGTGTGAAGTGTTGCGTGTGCATGCTGTGTGCGTGTGTGTGGGGTCTGGTTATGGTGGTGCGAAGGCTGGGTTGGAACCTCCCATCTCCAGGAAAGGTGTCCAGTGTTCGCTGCATTGTTCTTTCACCTGTTTTGTAGGTTTGAAAGTTTTCAAAATAAAAAATGTTGAAGGGTTACTAACTGCTCATAACTTCAGAAACCTCCTCCTCCCAAATTCCATTTATCATCCAGGTCACTGAGGGGAAGCCATGCCAGCGCCCGCAGCCCTGGGTCACCGGGTGGCGTGGGGGTGGGGGTGGAGGGCGGGCCGTCGGGCCATCACGGCCGGCCCAGCACGCATCTGGCCCAGAAGGCCTGCTCTCAGGTTGTTTGTTCTCTAACACGTGTCTCCCAGGTGTGTGCTCATCACGGGGTTTCGTTAGACATTCGATTAGGAAGCCTGTGTCGTTCCAGAAGGAAGACACCCTCCTTCAAGGGCACCCTGCCTGGGCTGGCGTCAGCGCACCGAGCCGTGGCTGGAGCAGGGCGGCTGGAGGAGAGATGGGCCTCGGCCCTCCGGGAGCTCCGGGAGAAGCAGGCGCTGATGGAGCAGCACAGGAGGTGAGGCCGGGGCTCCGAGGTCAGCGGCGGGCCCTGCAGGCTGGCCTCTGATGAACGGTGTTTCCTGTTCCCGTGGCAGTGGTGCCGCTTCTCCGGTGTGAGGTCCCCCCGCGCGGCCGCCCCACCGCCTCGCGCTCACTGCCTTCTTTCTTGTACTTCCTCTTGTGCTTATTTCCTCTTGTCTCTCTCTTGTACTTGTACTTACTCTCCCTTAGTCTGCCCTCCTCGCCTTTCAGTGACCTGGCTGACAGGTTGTTCTAAGGAATGTCATTTAAAAATAACATGCTTGCCCGTTCGCTCTCGCCCCCGCCCTGCTGGGTCTGCTGCTGCCGCGGCCCCTCCTGTGCTCACCGTGTCCTCTGTCCTCCAGCTCTGCCCGCCACCCATCTTTCCCACGCTCTGGGCCCCGGGAGGCCGGCCAGCATGGACCTCGGCCACAGTGCCCTGGGACCCCTCACCTCCTGGTTGGATTCGGCCAGTGGGGGGTCCCAGCAGGAGGTCGGAGAGAAGGCGGAGCAGGAGGGCAGCACCTTTATTCCCCCTGCCCCTCCCCATGAGTGCCACCTGGGCCTGGCCGGGTCCCTCGCCGTGGACCACCCCATGCTTCTCACTCCTGGGTTCCGCCGAGCAGCCACTCGGGGGTGGCTGTAGCCCCACTGTTTCCCTCACTGCGTGGGGCCCACCCACTGCTCCCTTGTGACAAGCCCGTTGTGAATAAACCCTCCTGAACCCATCCCAAGTGAGTGTGTCTTCTCTTGGGCCCTGAGGGCTGCAGACTGTTCACGAACCCAGTGCTGACGGTATACTGTCCTCCCGCACCAGACCTGCTTTCTGGTCGGCGTCTTCTCCTCCAGTGGAAGGAGAGGGGTGAGGGCACGCGATGCCCCTGCCCTGGACTGTCATTCTGGTGGCAGGGGTGCAGCCCAGGACAGCAAGGCTCAGACTTGGGAGTGTGGTCTGGGCTACTCCTGGGGTCATGCTGGTCAGCCATAGCTGTTAACAGCCAAAGTGTCCCTTGGCAGTAGTCCAGGCTGCAGGGAGTGGAGGCCCCCTACCGCTCTACCTCGGGGCCCAGGTGTGGACCGAGCACAGTCCGTGTCCGAGTGAGAGGAGCCTTCTAGAGCATGTGTCACGAGCTGCCCCTGACCACCGAGGGTACCTACCCCCGGCTGGCCTCCTGCGCCTCCCTTCTCTGCCTCTAGGTGGGTCCCATCCCTCCTGCCTCACTTCCGCCTGTTCCGATTCCAGTTCCTAAAACCAGCCGCAGGCACCTGCCCCCTGGACCCTTCAGAGAAGCACTTCTGTCCCTTGTTTTCAAATGAATCTTCCCCAGCCACCTTCTCCCCTCTTGGCCAGCTCATGGTGGCAAGGCACAGGGCGAGGAGGTGGCATGGTGGGCACGTGGGGCAGCTTAGGGTGCCCAGGACACTGCATGCTCTGTGGAAGGAAGGTTTCAAGCACCAAGGTCAAGTGCAAGCTCTCATCTTGGTTTCTCTGCCTTGGGCCCTGAGGTGACACACTGTGGCCTCCGTGGTGACAGTATGAGAGGCCTGTCCTGTGGCTTAGACTGCTGGTGGACCTGGTTGTCAGTGTACATGTGGCTCCTAGGAACTTACTTACCCTGTGCCTCTCAAGGAGGGGTCCCTGCCATCTCATTTCACCCAGAAGAGGTGGAGGCAAGGATGGACCCCCTCTTCTGGGAGGGAGGCACCTCACAAAGTCACAGCTCTAGGTGGGACCACTGAGTGGGGGACCAGGGAGTGTGGCTCAGCTGGGGGCAGGGGACCCACCTAGGCAGGGGCAGGAAGCAGCCTGGGGGGCAGGCCTCTTCAGGGGTGCAGAGCAGGGCACCTGGCCCTCCCTGGGCTCTGACTTGGCAAATGCAGCTGCCAGAACGACCAGCACCTGGTAGGATGGAACCAGGTCCCTCCGCACCTAAATCCCAGGCAGCCCCAGCACAGGTGCAGGCCCTCGGAGGGGACAGCCAGGCAGAGCCCAGGAGGGCCTTCAGCATGAAAGAGCCCATGACACAGGCAGGCGGCGCGGCCCGGGCACCACCTGCTGAGAGGGGAGACAAGGGGCCAGCTTTGGGGGCAGATTGGGAGGCATGCGGGCACCAGAAGCTATGGGAGACCCAGGAATTTGTTCACGTGGGCAAATGGGCAAATGGGTCCTGGGCCAGGCAAGGCTTCCCATGGACCCCGTCCCATCTCCAAAGCCGTAAGCACAGCACAGCCCAGTCTCCAAGCTGCGGGCAGTGACTCCCGTCGGGTATGACTGTGGGGCCATCACTGTGCAGCAGGTGAGACCATGCCGTCATGGAGCCTGTCCTGCCGAAGCATGTGAGTGTGGCCATGTCACAGGTGAGGGGACTGGGGAAAGACGCGTGCTCACTCTGTAAAGTGAAACTCAGGTGTCTAAGAGGAATTTGACTGTCAGCAGTGCTTTCACATCTTACAGTGACTGGTGAGTGCCCGAAGGCCTCGGATGCCCGGGCTGGTGGCCACAGCCCCAGCCTGGCCTTCTGAGGCCTCTTCCGGTGGGGGCTCAGGAAGGGCCTGGCTGGCCTCTGGGCCAGGTCAGATGTGCCCAGCTCTGCCCAGGGTGCATTTCAGGAGCCACCCAGAATACTGTGCATGTCAGGCTGGTTTCTGCCCTCTGGACGGATGGACAGAAGTAAAGGCCTTTTGTGTGAAGCTTTAAAACTGACAGTAGAAGACCTGTAAGCTTTGCCGCTGCTTTTAACCTTGACTGACACGATGTCTTTTCTCCAGAGATAGAAGAATCCTGCAGGAGTGGCGAGAGCAAGCCCAGACCATGAAGAGAAGGGAGGAACTCGTCAGGCTGCTTCCCAAACGGACGCTGGTATGCTGGACGCTGGCATGCGGCGCTGGGCGGGAGGCGGGCTGCGGTGCCAGCGGGACAGGCCCTGGGCACTGCCCGCGGCTCTCCGGCCCGTGGAGCGCTCTGTGCTGGTGCACTCACTGTTCGGGCCGTGATGCGGCAGGTGCTGCAAATGTCCTTTTCTTCGCCGATGGAGACAGGCCAGCTCGGGGGAGGGGCGGGGCTGGCGCCGTGACCCTGGTGGTCCCTCTGAACCGCAGGGAGCTGAGGGTGCCCAAAGGTGGGTCTCTGCCCTTGGTCCCCTCAGCTTTGAGGTCAGTCACCTCGGAAGCCAGGAAGCAGTGGTTCGACGGCATCTTGCCCTCAGTTCCCAAGCAGGGGCCGCCGGCTCCCACTTGGTGTGTGGCCTTCGGCACCCCTCTTCCCTTTTCTCTCCCAAACCATTTGGGGGTCTGAGCCCAGACGAAGATGGGGTGATGGCAGGCCTGGATGTGCCCAGCTTTCTCACCTCCTGCGAGCAGTTAGACATGTTCCCTTTTTAACTTGGTCACGGCATCCCTCGGTCCCTTTGTTTAAGGCATGTCCCCTGCGTGGGACCCCACAGGACCTCTGTGCCCCCCTCCACCTGGGGTCGGTACCCTGAGCCAGGTGGTCCACTCCGACAGGCAGGGCTCTGTTTCTGTTTTAAGTGCGTCTGGAACTGACTTTGAGTGACAGGAAAGCTGCAGAGACAGTGCGAGCCCCGGAGCGCCCCCCACCCCCGCCCCTCACCCAACCACCATGCAGTGCTCCAGAGGGAGGGGACGCGGATGGCGCTGTTAACGGAGGGACACCTAACCCAGCTCGTTCTCCACTGACACCTGCCACGGCGGGGCCCCAGCACCCGTGTCCCACAGCCTGTAGCTGGCCTCCCATCTTTCCTGGGTGCACTTCTGGAAAGTGCTGAGCAGCTGTTTGTCTGGGGTGGCTCAGGAACACCATCACAATTACGGTGTTGGTGGTGCTTAGTCCGGTGTGAGGGGTGCCTGCCAGGTCACTATCTCCCTGTGTGGCCTATGCTGTCCTTGGGGGAGACACCCACACACATGCTGTCCCCTAGCATCTGTCCCAGTGGACTGCAGGCACTTTTCCATCAGAGAATCTGTTACTGAATTTTTCTACACCTAACGTTGCTCAAGTTGCCTCTGTCCTGCCAATCAAAACAGAAGACACGGGCCTTTGTGTGCTAGTGGAATGTCACTGTGGACCCCAGCTCACAGCATCGGAGCCTTTCCGCCCAGTGTGGTTGGGGTCCCTGGGCCCTGCCTGCAGCCACAGCTCACCCCCACCCCAGCCACATGCTGTGATGGCCGTGCCGCCCCTGAGCCCGGCCTGGGCTTTGCTCAGCCGGCCGGTCCTCACGCAGTCCTCCTCAGTTCCGTTCCGCTGTGTCTGCAGCCTGGCAAGAGTGCGCGGGGGGGGGGGGGGGGGGGGGGGGCAGCAGAGGAGGAGGTTGGAGGTGGCTCCTGCTCCTGTCCACCTCCCCTTTCCCTTCCCTACCCCTGTCCCCTTCCCTCCCATCCTTCCTGGGTGTTAAGCACCTTCACTGGTCAGACAAGGTCCCACCAGGATGATCCACTTAGAGTGAGGTGGCAGATAAGACCATCGCAGACCAGTCTAGGTAGGCTGCATGGATTCCACCAGACTCCAGCTGTAGGGCCCCTGGGAGGAGGCCACCCCCTCCCATCTCCCTCCTGGAGCCCACACAGCCCACCCTTCTCACCACACCTGCACTCATCCGGTCTCTCCCTCTATCCTTGTCCTGCTTTAAGATGCCCTGGGGCGTGGCCTCTCTCCAGCACGCACAGGCGCGCACACACACACACACACACAGGCACACACAGGTGATCCTGACTCTGCTCTGTACCTGGCCCTTCACCCTAGCCAGCAGGACGTCCTGCCTAACGCTGAGGCTGAGTGGGTGACCGCAGTGTAGGAACCACTGTTCTCTGATGGCCATTTATGAGTCTCCTTGCGGACAATTGACTATGTTCACAGGGCTGTCTTCGCAGATTCCTCAGAACATCCTGATATGTTTTCCTAGGTGACATCCAAGATTCCCTTTGCCACAGATCAGCTGGACAATGAGAAAATGCCAGCAAATCCACCTGGGAAAAGTGGACAAAGCAAAGAGAAGTCACCGCAAGCAAATAACGAGCTAAGGTTGGTTCTGGGGTGCTGATGTTCCCAGGGCTCAGCACCCCCTCACCTGTTCAGAGGTCTTGGTTCCCACCAGTGTCTAATGAGCAGAGGTCCAGGCATGTGGGAGCTCAGGGAGAACGGACAGCGGGAAGAATGGGTCCCTGCCCTCAGGAGCTGCTGCAGCCTCCGGACTGGCATCGCCCCCATGTCTGTGTGTCCCCAAGGGACCCCTCCCCAAATGGAACAGCAGCTGTGGGGCCCCAGCATTTCTGTAGTTTCCCGTGTTCTCCCTTTGCTGCCAAACCTTCTCAGCCCCAACACGCTGGGGTGGGACGGCACCCTCCCCACGGCGGTCTGACTCCCCCCAGCGTCTCAGGCCTCCTGCCACTCTGCGTGTCATTGTGTGTGAATCAAAGAATAGGAACCCAGAGCCCCAATACAAACAGAGCCAATACGTTTAAACCCCTCATTCATTTTAATGTTCCTGTTTGAGGATTTATTAGCACTGTGCATTCGATGTGGGAACAGACAGTCTTCATCATGTGGGACAGTGTGCAGCGTCCTAATGTGTACGATCTTAATTCGAAGTTTTAAAACACAGTGTGTGCTCCAGCAGCTCAGCTCGGGAAGGTTTGGGAGAGTCCCCAGGCCTGCCTGTGTGCTGGCGCCCGGAGGGAGGGGCAGGTGGCCTCAGGTGGCCTTGTCGCTAGCACCCTGTCCTGACGATGACGTCCCCAGGACTACGATCTGGCCTGTAGGGTAAAGGAAGGTTCTTTATCTCCTGTCGGAATAACATCACTAAGACCAGCCTGAGCGCGTGGCCCTGGGTCTCCGCAGTGCCTGTCCCTGCGGCGAGTTGGAGGGCCTGGGAGAGCACGTCCCGACCACGCGCGGGTGGAGGAAGGCGTTTCCAGGCCCCGCAGCGCTGGAGGAGATACGGAGGGCCACCGAGGGTCTGGAGCCTGTGAGTATCTGCCGGCCTCCTTTGAAAGCAGACTGCTTTATTGACAGCGGAAGGGAACTTGCTATGCCTTTGCAGAGCCTGCGTTTTCTGAAGCTGGGGGTGGGGAGGCATTTCATGGCCTCACAGTGGTGGAGGATGAGAAAATGTTCTTGTCACTTGTGAGCCCTCAGATGCGTTGTGTTGCCCGACGGGCCCCGGCAGCAGCTCTTGCTTCACCAGTGGAAACAGGACAGGGACGTGTCTGTGGGGTCCTCCCCTGAGGGTGGTGACAGCAGAAGCTGGGGGGGCCAGGAGCGCTGCTGCTACAGACAGACGGGGCCTGGGCTGCAGCCAGACCACAGCCGATGCCCCAGTGTCCGTCAGGGCGGTGGGCGCCTTTGCGCCCCGCTGGCAGCGTGCCCTCCCGCAGATGCTGGAGAGCACCTACCGTGTCCAGATGTCCTGGACTGTGAGAGCCATTCAGTGATCAGGAAGCTGCCGCCTGTCCCGCATGACACAGGCAGCCCGCGCGGCCAGGAAGGAACCACCGCCCTCCCTGAGAGTGGCCAGGCCTGGACGGCTTCGCAGAGGCTGACCCGTGGTCTCTGCACCTCGCGCCACGGCAAAGCCTGCCCACTCGCGCTCCTGGACCACCCAGGCCTCTGGCTCGTGGGGCTGCTCTGTCCTTGCTCGGGGTCTGGCTGGTGCTGGGCTGCACTGAGGCTGTCCCCAGAGCCAGCAGCACCGTCCCCACAACATGTCTTGGGGCTCCATCACTTGTCCCCACTCTCCTGAGGCCCAGGCAGGGGTGGGGGAGGGAGGAGTGCAAGCAGGGTCTGGGCCACCTCACAGAGACCCGCCCCCCCTTCTCAGACCCCCGCCCAGCCCAGAGAACTGCACTGCTTCAGACGCGTCTGTCCCCCTCTCCAGTCTGTCGTTTACAGTGACCTCATCCTCGGGCACCCCAAGCCCCACCTCTCAGAGCTTCTGAACTGCGTCCCAACCCACTGCTTCAGGTACGGGCTCAGAAGTCTGTCTGTGTTATGAAAATCCTATGCTCGCAGACTTGATAACCTGCTTGAAATGGACCAACCAAATCCTTGAAAGTCACCATCTACCAAAACTCACAAGAAAATAACTTCGGTAGGCTGATACCTGTTTTTAAACGAATCAATAACTTTCCAGTGGGTTCACGGGTGGTTTGAATTCTACCAGATATTTAAGGAAGAAGTTACATACCAACTCCCTATGATCTCTTCCAGAAGACAGAGCAGAGGGAACACTTCGTACCTCACTCTGTGAAGCCAGCGTGACCCCAGCACCAAAACCAGATAAGGGCACCACACGCCAGGGAAACCACAGCACTCCCAGTTGCAAACTCCTTGACAAAATATGAGCAGACGGAGCCCCACATGTGTAAGGGTGACTCACGAAGGCCAAGTGGAATGTATCCCCGGTGTGCAGGCCGGCTCAGCCTTCCCAAATCAGTGTATATGACGAGTCTCGTCCACGGGCGGGAACGCCTGGTCATGTCGACAGGCAGAGAGGCGTCTGACAGAACCCCTCATCCAGTCACGGTAAAACCCTCAGCAGACAGGAGCAGAGGGCAACTTCCTCAGCTCGATACAGAACATCTCCAGAAGCCACAGCTGACGTCGCACTTACTGCCGAGAAGCTCGATGCTGTCCCCTAGGTCAGGAGTGAGGGGGTGTCCCCTCTCACCTCTGCAGGATGGTGCCCGAAGTCCTACCAGTTGCAATAACACAGGAAAGGAAGCAGGCCACAGATCCAGAAGGAAGAGATGAAATTGTCTTTGTTCTCAGATGACATAACTATTGACGAAAAATGTGTGTAACTGATCAGCAGTTAAGGACACAAGGCTGATACTCAAAAACCACTCACTCACTATAGACCGGCAATGAAAAGTGGAATTTGAAATTAAAAACAATACCATCTAGCCCTGGCCGGTTTGGCTCAGTGGTTAGAGTGTTGGCCTGTAGTCCAGAGAGACCCGGGTTCGGTTCCCACTAAGGGCACGTACCTCGGTTGCAGTTTGTCCCCGGCCCTGGTTGGGTCGTGCAGGTGGCAACCACTCGATGTGTCCCTTTCACATCAATGTTTCTCTCTCTCTCTTTCTCTCCCTCCTGCTCTATCTGAATAAAATATGGAAAAATGTCCTTGGGTGAGGATTAAAAAAAAAACAATACTATCTACATTAGCACCCCAAAAAATGGTGCTAGGTAGAAATCTAGCAAAATGTGTACGAGATCTACATGAGGGAAACTACAAAACTCTGACGGAAGAAACCACAAAAGAAGTGCAGAGAGATTTCATGCTCACAGATCGCAAGGCTCAACATTGTCAAGATGTCAGTTCTCCTGGACTCCATCTATAGATTCAACACAGCCCATCGAAATCCCAGCTATCCTGTGGACATCGACAGTATGATTCTCAAGTTTATATAAAGAGCAGACAGAAGACCCGGAGTAGCCAACAGAATGGTGAAGGGGAAGAACAGAGGACCGACTGGCCCGACTTCAGCCTCTATGAAGCCGCCGCCGTCACAACAGGCTGCTGGTGGAAGAACAGACAGAACAGAGCCCTGAATGGATACACATCAGTCAGGCACTGGGATCGTTGACAAAGGAGCTGAGGCAGCACGGTGGGGCCACGTCATTTTATACAAGAAAAATAAGCCCTGGCCGGTTTGGCTCAGCGGTTAGAGCGTCGGCCCGCGGTCCTGAGAGACCCGGGTTCGGTTCCCGCTAAGGGCGTGTACCTCGGTTGCAGTTTGTCCCCGGCCCTGGTCGGTCGTGCGGGTAGCAGCCACTCGATGTGTCCCTTTCACATCGATGTTTCTCTCTCTCTCTGTTCCTCTCTCTCCCTCCCACTCTACCTGAACAAAAAATGGGAAAATGTCCTCGGGTGAGGATAAAAAAAAAAAAGAAAAAGAAAAAGAAAGTGAATTAAGCCTGTGTTAATAAAACTCTATTTTAAAACTGTAGCCTGAGCTCTGGCTCTTGGGTTCTGCACTGTGGTCCTGTGCCCTTTGACCCTGGAGAGGGAGAGTCAGGGGGCAACTGCACAGGGAGCCACTGTGGTCAGGCTCGAGTGACCAATCCAAGGCAGCCATGACAGGTGTGAGGAAGGTGGTGTCCCCCACTTGGCAGGTCAGAAAACAGACCCAAGGAGATACATGATGGGCCTGTGGTCACACTGTAGGTGGTGGCCACTGAGATGACCCAAAGCCTGTGTCCAACCCTGCACTGCTTCCTTGGGGACACGAGCCACTGAGAATTCACTTGAGGCTTTAGTCCCCGTCCCTGCTTTTCTGTGATTAAAAAAAATTTTGTCAAGTTTCTAGGAGGTGTTCAGTGGCTGGCTCCCAGCTAAGTCTCAGTATCCCAGGGAGTGTGACAGGCAGCTCCTGCCAAGGAGACGGAAACCGGTGTCCCTCGGTGACACGGCTCCGCTGCCCAGCCCCTGAGCTGGCGGCCCGTGCTGGCGTGGAGGCCGGGTGTCCTTAGCATCACATCCGACATCATTGGCTTCCTTGGCTCCATCCTGGCATTGGGAGGCCAGAGGAAGAAGGGGTTCAAGTCCCCAGGAATGCAGTGGGGGAGGGGTAGGCGGTGCAGCCGGCGCAGCAGGCATTAGCCACGTTAGCCGGTTTCTTCCCCACACTGCTGGCTGTCCCCACGCGCCGTCCCCCTCGGTCTCGGGGCTGCCTGTGCGGCTGGGCTGGGACTGGTGCCAGGGAGTCTGCACCGCGGCCTCCGTGCAGGGTTGGTGTGCAGGGTTGGCGGGACAGTGCTGAAGCGGTTTTCAAGCCCCAGCCAATGGGAAGGAAGATCTGGGCGGGGAGCCTGTGGGCGGGAGGGCTCCCGAGACACCAGCGGTGTGTGGGTATCGGCACAGTCTGACAGCAGTATTTTGGGAGATGATCTTATGGTTGTTTCTGAAATGTGTCCGCCAAGGACCTGAGTCCTATAGGCCCAGGCCATTTCAAATGACTGTCTTTTTATGCTGTCCACACGGGACCACTGGCTGGAAGAGAGATGCTGTGTGGCTAGCACTGGGCAGTGAGTGTGTGTGTTCAGCTCTGGGAGAGGACAGTGTCAACTCTGCTCGTAAGAGGCGTGGCCGCCCCTGTTGTTTGTGAGAGCACAGGCCACCCCACCAAAGGCCTTGTTTCCTGGCCTCGTGACCACCTCCGGCCAGCAGTGACTAGAGGTGTGGTGAACTTCCAGAGCTTGTCTTCCCTTCCCTCTGCCTGGAATACAGACACAACGGCAGGAGCTGGGGCAGCCACGTCAGACCCTGAGGCGAAGGCCCTGGACTGAGGATTAGAGTAACAGTCTGCAGCCCTGAGGACTGCCCTCCCAAATAACCCACTCCACCTGGTGTCCCAGCTGTCATGGGGCCTTTGTTACAGCCACTGAGCCTGTGTCCGTGTCCTAACAAGCCAACTAGTGTCGTTTTGGAAGAATCAAGCCACCTAGTGGAATGTGAGGACCAGCCGAGAGAAATGCCAACAAGAAGCAAGCGGATGCCTTCTAAAGGACCCCAAAACACAGGATATGAAGTTTAAAATAGAATGAGACTGGGAGTCTGCACAAGGTCATGTGAGGTCCCAGGCCCCACCCCCTACCTGCTCAGCTCACTGACTCCCACCCACCCAGCAGGAGACCTGGGTGTGGTGCCTGGAGAGGTTCACCCAGGAGGCACCACGCTCCCCATGAGCCCACGTGACCCTTCCTGAGTGTGCAGGATGCTGAGGATCAGCCCTCTTTGGGGCTGGGGCCAGGCGCACCCCTGCAGTGGAGAGCCAGCAGGGGCCTCTCTAAGGACACTGACCAACATAAAGGACCTACGAATCCCGACACTTGGGTGTCCCCTGTGCTGACCTGACCAGCAGCTGCAAGTCCCACCCACCGACATGCCCTGTATTTAACGGTCGTTCTGGCTCCTCGTCCTGGAGGGTCCGTGAGAGTCAAAGGGCCCAGCCCGGAGGACAGCTCCAGCTGGTGGGAGGGGGAGGCCGCACAGACCCATGGAAAGCGCACTCGGCAGAAACGAGACATTGTGGAAAACAATGAAAATCCTCTGGGCAACAATAGAAAATATAACTACCATGAAACAAGTTGTTATAAAAATGGAACCCTCAGATAACCAAGAATACTTGTAGTTAAGTTAAAAATATAGCAAAAATTTTTTAATGAAATTTAAATCCATAGGTGATTTTGAGTACGTCCCCCAGGAAGCAGAACAGAAGGAAAGGGGAGACAGAAATAGGGATGGGAAGAAGAATGTGGACCCAGGAGTCTCCTCTGGCCCCATGTGTCCCGGAAAAGACATGGGAGCCAATAGGGGGAGAAGCTAATAAAAATATAGGAAGGTTGTCACCAAGGAATGTGTTTCTAGATTGAAGGCCCAGGTCTGATGGGAAGACAGGGAACCTGAGATCCCAGAGAGGGAGGCCAGGCCGGGGCATCTCCTTAGCAACCAGTATTGTGTCTGATGTCTGATGTCTGATGGAGCTCGGTGCTCCGGTCACCAGCCAGGGCCAGCGTGGAAGGAAGGACTCAAACCCTAACTTCCTGCACAGCCCTTCTCTGGAATCTTCCACAAAATTTGTTCTCCCCAAACAAGGGGGGTGGCCGGAGGGGGGTGACGTGTCCAGGAGAGGGAGCTCCATGTGCGACGGGAGGAGCCACGGGGCCTGGAGTCTGTGCAGGGGAGACAGGCCAGTCTGAGGACTTGATGGGGACGAGGACACTGAGAGGATCACCGTTTGGGAGATACATAGGGTCACAGTGACAGGTATGTAGACAACAAAGTCAGTGTTTTTAGTTCTACAAACAACATAATCGTTTTAGGAAAGAAAATGTAACCAAGGGATCAGCAGCAAATATTTGCTGGTCATGGGGATGTTAAGCCTGAGTGTCAACTGTCCCCAGTCGTGATGGGTCTGCACCAGGGGACAGTCGTGGGCTGCAGATGGAGGTCCGGGTTATGCCCCAGGAAGACGGAGCTGAGCGGGGAGGGCAAGGGGAGCGAGGACAGGCCCTCCTTGGGGATGGGAGGCCCCAGCACCGTAGATACAGTACCAGTGGCCCGGTTTCCTGGGCAGAGGCAGGAAAGAGCCTGCTCCTTGACGCTGGCCACTCGCCACCCAAGGGCCATCTGCCTCATTCTCCATGTCACCTCCTTCTGGCCTGACAGATGGGCTGGGGACAGGGCATTTGAAGCAGAGCCCACACCTGATTCCAGGCTCGGGGATTCCCTCCACCTGAGGCACTCGGGTCCTGTGTCTGTGTCTGTGGGATGAGGGTAAGTCTCGGCCCCACCTCCCAGGGCAGGTGAGTCTCAGGTAGGATTGCAGTGGGGATGGTGCTGGCTGTGGTGACGTGAGCAGGAGAGTCGATTCTCCCCGTCCCTTCCTTGACCAGCAGTTATTCAGACAGCTGGGTGCAAGGCACCTGGGTGGGGCCCAAGCAATGAGTAGGCCTCTGGGGACGTGGCTCTGGGACCCAAGGGACAGCACCTGCCCCCTCCACAGGACAGTGTGTCTGAACAGACAGGCTGACCCTGTCCTGCCCACCTGGCTAACTTTGTCCCCTCCTTCCCTCCCCCAAGGCTGGAAAGATCCAGGATGAAGTCATGAAATTGAGCAAGAGCCATCGATGCCCGGCCCTCCCCGGGGACCGTCCATTGTAACCACCGGCATTACCGCCTCAGAGTATATTTTCAAAAACGAAATATTGAGCATCTGAAAACGATTACTAATCCTAATGACAAAGTCTCCTGTGCACGGACGGAAACCTCCAGCCTGAAAGTGGCTCAGCCCTTGGCGGGCGGGCTCAGGCGCGCCCGGCGCTGGGGTCTCAGGTCAGCACCCTCGCCGCGGCCCACTGCTCAGCCGGCCGACTGTCCGATCTGCGCTGCTCTTTCTGAGGTTCCAGCTGCATTAAAAAGAAGAGACTACTGTAAACCAGCCACATCGCTTTCATGTCCAGCGACAGTCACAAATGTAACCTTAGCTTCCCCAACTCAGTTATTTCCATGGGCGGGGTCAGAAGTCCACCTCCACGAGGGGCTCTGGTGAGCTTGCCCTCCTCCCACCAGCATGCTCTCCTTCGACCTCCCCCTTCCTGGGGGGTGGACTCCTCACCCTGCACGTGAGACGTGGAGTCCAGCCAGGCCACCCCTGCCCCTGACGCCGCCCAGCCCGGCAGCCTTTGTCAGCCCCTCTCACGCAGGCTATTCATTCCTTCTGACTCGGTGCTGTGCCCTGAACTCAGTGCCCTGGGGAAGGAGACCTGGACCCTAGCTCAGTCCTAGGGGGCCAGTCCCTCTGCTCCAGCCCCCAGGCCTCCACCAGCCTCTGGCTGGGCTTCTCCCAGCTGCTCCGGGGCGTCACCCTTCTAAAAAGTCACTTTGCTCCAAGACTCTTAGAAACAGGGTCCAGGTAAAAGTCAAACATGATGATTAAAAAGGAAAAGCCGATAGCAAAATTCAGTGGTAGCATTCTGGGATGGCAAATATGCTTGATTTTATTACCTCCAGCTTCATACTTGTTCGTTTTGCTGGTTTGTTCAATTTGCAGTGATTCCATTTTTGTCCTTGTTAGCCTCAAGTTTTGTGTATTTTTCATTCTTTTAGTAGTGACAGTCCCTTTACTTTCTCTCCTAACCGGACAGGTGTAAATGTCAACTCTCCTTCATGCTTTCCCAACCCTCGCCTTTACGTCCTTCTCCATCCTGGGCATAGATGAGGCCTTCCCAGTGTTCTTACCCTGCCCCACCTCGGTTATCTAATACTATGTGACACGCCACACAGGGGCCCCGAGGGCTCCCCCACACGCCCCTCCGTGTGGTCCCTCTGCAGGGAGTTCTGCGCCCTGAAAAGTGCAGAACGGAAGCTTCCAGACCTTCCTCAGGCTTAGGCCACAAATGAGCACAGCACCTTTCCTTCAGCCTCCGTTCTGTGACCCACGTTCTCCTGCAGGTGGCGCCTGGGGCAGCCCGCCGCTGCCTTGGCCACACGCTGCGGGTTCTCTGTCTTTGGCTCTGACGAGAGAGCTCAGTTTCTGGCCAAGCAGTTTGAATCAATGCGGGGAGATTTCTCCTCTCACCCACACTAGGACATCAACAGCTGACTGCAAACCGGGTCAAATGACAACCTGGACAGTGCCTGGGAGCCTTTGGAGGGGAGCATCACAAATATGCTCTGCCCCCAGGATTTCTCAATCACCCACCGCAGCTTGGGATGCTCTGCACTTCTGCTCCCTGTCATGGAGAGCAGGCTCATCTTAAGAAACAGCCAGCTGGCTCAGCATAAGGGCCACAGATCAACTGTTTTGAAACTAATGCAATTATTTGGAAGAGATGCCCCACCCTAAAAATGTTTTTGCTCAGATGCCTGCACACACAGGGCTCTCCGATCTGGGCCTGACGGGGATTCAAGGCCACTGCAGAGTGTCACCCCACTCACAGGGGACGCAGGAAGGCACCGGTTATGGGGTGGGTGGGGCAGCTTTCTAGGACACACCTGCCACCTACTTGGGCCCTCGAGCGACGCCACTGGCCCAGGTGAAATACCAGTGGGGGCGGATGCTGCACAGGGATGTAGCACATGTTTGCTGCTCCAGCCCAGCCCGGACCATGGCCCTGGGCCTGAGGATCCCACTGCTGGCCTAGCTACAGGGGAGAACTGTGACGGTAGCAGTGATTGTGAAGCTGATGCTGATGATAGTGATGCTGATGGTAATGGTGGTGATAGTGATGGTGATGCCTGGGAGGGAAGACCCACCCCCTCTGCCCTGGGCCTAGGATGGGTGCTAGCACATGGCAATGGATACTAAGCAGGCCCTAGTTCTCAAGGGTTTCATTTTGTCCTCTCCCTTCCAGCATGAGACCTGCTGTGAGGTGGCCTGGGTCCAAGCAATCAGACCCATCCTGGCCCTCATACCCGTGGTCTCACGGCACTGGCTCCGGAAATATCTGTGGTCTCTGACTTGTGGCTCTGGCCTTTGGACCAGGTAGCTTTGGTTTCATCTCAGAAGCACCTGGCTGTGCTGCAAGGGACCCACCCACCAGCTCAGCCCAGGTGAGCTCCAGTAAGAGGAAGTGGGAACTGGCCCAGGTGTGAGAGAGGGGGCGGTGGGGTGGGGGACACCAGCTACCTGGCCAGGTGACTGTGGCAGCTTTCATTCCAGTCATGGGAGTTCCCAATGAGTCTCCCATCTCATGGGAGAGACAGAATGAGAGATGACAAAGACCTAATTATGTACCAGTTGGAAGGACAGTGCTTGTCAAGGCTCAGCAGACTCTCCTGTGTCTTCAGGGGCCAGGAGGAGGGACATGGGAGTTGGTACTTGGAGAAGATCTCCTGAAATACTAGAGGGCTCAGGGCTAGTGAGGCCAGGTTTCTGTGGGGTGAACCTGGAGCACCTCCAAGGACCAACACAGAGACCAGGACCCTGAGAGGGTTGAACACAGGTCATCCTCCGCCTGAAGCATTCCTGCTGCCAGCTCATGGTCACCCGACTCAGCCCCACAGAAGGTTCTGGATGGTCTCCTGTCCCCCTCCACCTTGCCCATCTGACCAGGCTGGCCAGCCCTGGCTACTCTGCTAGTGCTCAGGGCAGGCAAGGCCAAAGGCCAGGTGCTAGGTATGCCTGGCGGTGGCTATGATGCCCATGGCAGGGGGTGACGGTTTTAGAGGCAAAGTCCAAAGGCCTGGGGAAAGGCTCCTGGCCCTGTTTTCCCTCAGCCCGGGATCACTCAGCAGCCCCGCCCTGGAACCACGAGGCAGCCGCACACAGCTCTAGGTTCTGGGAATGTTCTTTCCAGGGACCAGCCCACTGTCGCTGATTGCCATGCACAGGGCTGGCCCTCAAGGGGGACACTAGAGAAGGGACCAGTGGGTCAGAAAGGTAGCGGCATATGGGGGTCAGCACCCAGGACTCCTGGGCTCATCAGGACCCTGCAAAGGACATCTGCACTTGCACCAGGTGCTCTGGAAACTCCCAGGGCCTTCCAGAAACAAGAGTGGGTGGGGAAGTAGGGAGCAGGTGGGTGGGTGAGTCTGCCAGGTGGGGCCCTACACAGCCACCTTTAAACTACAAATCCACCTGTCTGTCTTCTCTTTTTAAAAATGTTCTACCTTGTAGAGACAGGTTTGTAAAATGGCTTCCAAGTTCACTTAAATAAAAGTACAGAGCACACAGCACAGATGGGGCGGGGGTGGGGCACCCTTCTCACTTGCCCTCCCCACTCTCAGCTGTGTCCTGCCACACTCACCCACTGTCCCATCAGGCTCCCCTCCAGCCTGTCTTTAGGTGTAGCTGTCCCACCTACATCCTCGCACAAACACCTGGGAGTTACCCAGGGAGCCCCCTTTCTTACAGCACTGGGTACCTTTAAGAGGGTCCCCTTCTGTGTATCTCCCTCACCCACCACTGTAACCCTGTAACTAGCTGTCCACATTGCCATGTAGGGCCCCTTCTCCCTCTGGGTGGACACCTGCTCGCTCAAGCATCCATCACCCCTCCCGGGCACTTTTCCCCAACACCCTCCATCCACACACACCTCCATCCATGATGTCCCCACCGGCTGGGAGCTGACTCAAACCCTGGCTCCCTGGTCCATGGTGCTGTCTGTCCCCAGTGCCCAGCAGGAGGCCCTCGGGTACCTATGCTGAGCTGGTGGGAAGCCTCTGGCCAGTCCTGGCCTGTGGGTGCAGACAGCAGTCACAGGGAGGAGGGGTTGGCTGACCCTGGAGAGATGCCTGAGTCCCTTATCTGCTGGAACCTGGGCCATGCAGAGGACAGATACTTGCTCTTCTCTTACACCTGCGCTAGGACCTCTCCTAGGGATGGACTGATGCTCCTTGGGCCTCGTTCCCCAACCCTGGACAATTGGGGCCGGTGAGGTTCTGCGAGGTCCCCGTGGCCTCCTTTGGCCCTCTGGGCTCCTCTCTGACGGCTCTGCGCCGCGCGGCCGCCTGAGGGCGAGCGCGAGCGGCAGCCCCACTGTCCCAGGCGGCTCCAGGGGTAGCGGCCATGACGCAGGGCGGGGCCGGGCGGAGCCTCCCGCCGGGCTTGGAGGGGCGGGGCTTGGCGGCGGGCGGCGTCCGGGTCGTCAGGACAACCGGCTGCCCGCCAGTCTCCGGTGCCCAGTCTGGCGCACCAAGCCCGGCTTAGGGGGCCAGGCCGGACTCCGGGCAAGGTCACTGCAACAGGCTGGGCCCTGAGCGCAAGTGCTCGGGAAAGTCGAGAGCTTTGGACGGAAGGCGCGTGGGAGCAGGACGCGGGCAGGGGTCCTGGGCGGGGGTCTAGCGTCCGCTCCGCGCCTCCACCTCCCTCTCCCCATAGCCGGCTGGCTGGGCGCGCCGTGGAGCCCCTCTCTCCCTCGCAATGTTCCTTCGCATTGTGAACTGGCCGCGTGGCCCTCCGGCCCTTCCGGCCGCAGGGGAGTCGCACGGAACCCGCTGTTTCCCCGGCGACCCAGGGGGCAGTTTCGCGATTGAGACTTGCAGACGGGATCACCCTCCCAAATCCTGGTGGAACACCCCGGGCGCACAGGGAACCCAGAGCCCGGCGCACATCCTCTCGTAACCCAGGAGGGCGCCTAGCACACGAGAGTCGCCAAATGCCCCCTACGGGGCGAGAGAGACAGGGCCGCTGCGGCGCTCCGGCTGGTGTCCCCTCGGCGCCCCGCGTCTCCTCGGCCTGGCCTGACTGGCTTCCTGCTCGCTCCGCCGGGACTTCCTCGCCGCAGTGCTGGGTGGCCACTGGGCGCCAGACCGGGAGGCGGGGGACCCAGAGTACGGGGATAAGAGTCGGGGGCGGAGAGGAGAGGAGGAGACCTGGAGCCGGGAGGGGAGGCGCCCCGGAAGGCCCCGGGCAGGGGTGGGGGAGGGGCCCTGGAGCAGGGCCGGGAAATGTCCCCCGCCGCCCCTCGGCTCCAGCTCCCGGGCCCTTTCCTCGGACGCTCGCGGCCAGCGTACCCAGAGGCCGGACGCAAACCCTGCCCCATCTCGGGAGCTGCGCAGTGCGTCTTCACGCCCACCCAGCTCCGGAGGCAGCACGGCCCCGCGCGCGTCTGTGCGAGCCGGGCTCTGGGACAGCGGCGCGGGCGGGTGTCCCGCGCGCCCTCCGCGCCCCCGGCCCGCACGCGGTGGCTGACCGAGCGGGGCTTTGTGACGTCAGGCGGCCGGCGGCGTCACGCGCGGGCTGACCCGGCGGCGGCGGCGGCGGCGGGGGCGGCCGGCGGGCGGGGCGGCCGGGACGCGGGAGCATGGAGCCGCGCGCCGGCTGCCGGCTGCCGGTGCGGGTGGAGCAGGTCGTCAATGGCGCGCTGCTGGTCACCGTGAGCTGCGGCCAGCGCAGCTTCGCCGGGATCCTGCTGGACTGCACGAAAAAGTGAGCGCGGCGGGGGGCGCGGGCCCCAGACGACCCTGGAATCCCCCTGGGACATCCCACCCCCCACCCAGGGCCGGACCCCGGTCCAGGGCAGCTCTGGAGCCTGCTTTCGATTTCCCCAGCTGGAGTTTCGGGGCAAGAGAGCGCAGCCGCCACTCGGGGGCGAAAGTGGCTCTCAAAGTCCTTGCTACTTTTCGGGCCGGGGGCGGGTGGGGCCTGGGCGTGGGGCGTGGAGCCGAGTCCCCGCGCCCGCGCCGAAACTCTGCGCGTCTGCCTTAATTAAGGCACTTTTCTTTGTTAAGACTCACTGTTGAATTCAGCTGTTTTCAGAATTGTCATCCATTGCGGGTGGGGGTAGTGGGTTCAGATGCGCAGGACTTGCCCTGTCAGTTACAACTAGTGCTGCCCTGTCTGATGTCACGATGCCCCAGGCTCCTGGGAGCGACTGTGGCTGGGGTTTAGACTGGTGACCAGCAGTCATGTCCAGCGGTGGCATTTAAAAACACTTTTGGGGCAGGGAGCCCCCGGCAGTGCGGGAGTGAAGATACAAGTTGTGCTGGTTTCTCTGGAGAAGGGTCCCCTGAAGGCCTGAGGCAGGTCCATGCAAAGACGCACCTGTGTGCTGCAGGGCCTGCTGCTGCAGGAGTCTCCTGGATACAGTGTCACATGGTGGTGAGCTGTCGGCAGATAAATGATGAGGCATTAACCAGGCACTAGTGTCTGGGCGCTCCTGCTGGGCCTTATTTTGAGACTGGGCCCAGGAACAGGCTTTCCTTGCAGATGTTGGACTTTTCCCTGGGTGGACCCAAATTTTGTTCCGGTGGCATGGATGAGACCATCACTCTTCCACAGTCACCCTGCTGGCATGATCTCTTCATTAGATGTGCCAGAAGCCATTTATGCACGAGTCATGTGACTTAACATAAGGCCTCCCGGTGACTGTCGTCCTGCTCAGTGTTGGCTAGTGCAGAATGCTCAGTGGCACCAAGTGACACTGGGGGCTGCAGCCTAACCACCTGCAAGCTGTCAAGACTGCCCTGTGATATCTGCTGCCACGGATGACCACCACTTCCTCTCTCAGGCAGGGCTGCAGACCTGGACCTGTCCCTGCTCCTGGGTCTGTGCAGGGCTGCAAGGCCCCGCCTGGCCTCCTCCTTGGAGGGGGCACTTGCAGGACAGGTTCCCACCCCATTTTCTGAACTCCCTGACTCAGGATCAGGGAGCCTCTGGGGAACTCATAGCTGGGGATGTCTGCAGCGGCGGCAGGCGCCCTCCTTGAGGCCTGTGGCTAACTTGGGTTGGAGATCCACACTTCCCCACCCCCTTCCCCACTGACTCGGGGAAGGAAGCAGGCCTGGCTGGGATCTGGCAGCTGTAGGACATGTGGGCGTCAACCCTCCCTCGGCCACGTTGGGCTGTAACCGGAGCCGCCCACAGAACCAGGAGCTGAGCCTTGGTGGACACAGCTCTGCTCAGCAGGGTCTCTTTCTGATTTGAGTTGTCCCCACTCTGCCCTGTCCTTGTGGAGAATCTGAAGATGAACCTGGCCTCCTGGCCCTTCAGCCCTTTGAGGCTTGGTTCTGAACTAGCCCCACAGCTCCGACACCTGCCCACCTTTGCTATCTCCTCTGGTTCACCTGATTCCACTTTTCTACCCATAATGGTATAAGTGCAGTGCTCATATTTACAGCCTGCTTGTCGGGTAGGGTCCAAAGGCTGCTTACACACTGGCCTGAGTGATTCGGACAGTGGGGGTCTGGCCTCAAGCCTCAGCGTCCACAGCACCCACCTGCCTTGCCTAGGGCCAGTTTCTTCTCTGTGCCTGGGCCTTCTACTCAGTAGGGGACGGTGGCAGGGCCAGGTGTGAGCACTGACTGGCAGGGAAGAACATTCGCCTCCAGGGGCCCCGAGGATCCCAGAGCGGGCTGTGCTGGGTGCCTGGGTATGGCAGCTGGGCGGGTGCTGATGACTGCCATGTATTGGCAGTTTCCTGGGTTTGTGTGCAGACCTGGGAGCCCTGTACAGTAACTAACCCGAGTGTCCGCTGGAATGGAGCCGTCCCATGGGAGGGGCCATTCCCACAAATTCCTGGTCTCTCTCCTATAGAGGGGCCCAGGAACTAGTGTTAATGGTTGGGCATTTGGGAGGTGGGGTTCCTCCCGTGAGGGTCTGGGAGGTTGGTTCTCTTCCCTGAATGTTAGAGGGGAGAGGACTGCGCAGGCCAGGGGAGGTCTCAGGTGCGTGTGCGGCGATGGGCTGGGTGCCGAGCGCCTCCTCGTATTCGTTGTCCATCTGAGTCTGAAACGTGCTACCCAGCTGCTGTGATCTTAACCAAGAGCCTCAGTGGCTCAGAGTGCTCGCCCGCTCATGCATTCACATACATTCATGGAGCACCTACTGTGTGCCAAGTGGGCTGTCCTGGGCAGACTGCCAAGAACGGTCCTCCCAGTGTCTCTCCAGGCACCGTAATGATGCTGATGGCCCAGACCGGCCCTGCTCCAACTCTCCAGGCTGGGGTGCAGGATGGATTGGGCGTTTTGTGGTGGTTGGAAGTACACCGCTGGTTGAGGACCTCGTGTGGGCTGGCCCTGGCTGAGGGTTGGCCCGAGGACAGCAGAGGCTCAGAGTGGTGAAGGGATGGTTGCACAGACAGTGCATGAGGGCCAGCTGCCCACCAGGCCTGACCAAGCCAGAGCCTCCAGGCTTGAACTCTCAAACTTCCCCAGGGTGCCATTACCATGTAACACTCTTGGGCCCCTCTGCTGGAAAGGTTGGGGTGCAGGCCTTTGTGACCCACACTCCACCTTGCAGGGTTGGGACCCAGGTTTCTGGAGACTCAACCAACCAACAATCCCTGGGCAGGAGCGCACCCCACTCCATGCTGGGCACACCATCCAGAATGGAGACTTGGCCACTGCTAGCTGCTCCCAGGACAATTCACTGGACAGACACCTGGTCCAGGCTCCACTGGGCATGTCCTGCCTGCCCTGGGGGAGCTAGAGGAACTGAGAGAGAATCCCTGCACATCATAGTGTGGCATGACCTGCAGCCAATGGCCAGGTGCCACACAAGGGGATCTGGCCCAAGTCGCTGGTCTCCAGAGCTTCTGCCCAGAGGTGGCAAAGGGTGGGGGACCTAGCCTTGTGTTGCTAGCGAAGTCTTCGAAGGCTTAGAGAGCGGTGCAGTCAGCTGAGTTTTATTGAAACGATGCTGATGGTTATTATACCTTTTAGTCTAGGACTCTGGGGCCAGCTGTGACCACCTGATCCTGTGGCTCTCCCTGGTAGCCCTAGGGGAGGGGCGGGCTTCCCTGTGTGGCCCTGGATGAGGGGTTACTCTGGTGTCCAGACTATGACTTCCCCTGCCAATGTGTTTTTCCCAACTCCCTGAACAGAGGGGGACCCAGAGGCCTCCATGCTACAGTAGGCCTGGTGTATCCTGTGAGGCACTGCCCGCCTGGCCGGGGCCTCTGTCCCTGGGCACAGGGAGTGCAGGCACAGCCTGACCTCACTGAAGGGCCAGGCCCTATAGGTGAGCCCTCGTCTACTGTGGTGCCATGCCTGTGCCCCAGGGTCCAGTAAAGGGCACTTGCTGACGTCCTTCCTGAAGAGAGGGGCCTGGAGTCAGCAGAGCTGGAACGTAAACATAGACCCACTGGTCTCTCTGGTCTCTCTGGGCCTCATTCCCCCGTCTGTGAACTTGGACGGCGATGATGACGTGTATCTCATGGGGCTACTGAAAGGATTTGCGAGCTGAAGCCCCAGCAGCCTGGGGCACCTGCTCTGGGATCTGCAGCCGGGACAGAGCTGTCCTGCCCCACGGCCTGCCGGCGATGTTTACCCACCAAGCAGTGGTGGGTGTGGCCTGGGCAGGGCAGCAGCTCCGGGAAGGAAGTATGGCTGCTTGTCATGCCAGAGTCACGAGGCCTTCCCTGTCGGCAGCAGGGCCCTTCCACAGAGCTGCCCCTGCTGCCTGGAAGGACCCCACCACCACCACCTCAGGCCACAGCCCTGGACTGAGGGCACACACACCAGGAAGGGCATGGGCACGTCTGTTCCCGAGCCCTGAGCACCGTGCACAGAAGCTGCTTCCCAGTTTGATGGGCCAGGCAGGGAGGTTTCAGCTGCCAGGCCGGCCCGGGCCTGGTGGGAGCACCCAGGGGCCCACACTGAGGGCTCTGGGTCTCTGGTAAAGGGCCTTGTGCCCATTCTAAACATGCAAGGTTCCCCTGAGGGACATGGACCATAAACAGGGGGGCGGGGGGACTTCCCTGGACTGCAGCTGTGGGGACTTCAAGGATGGAGTGACTACACCCCACACCCCAGCCTGTGTGTAGAGAGAAGTCACCCAGGAGCCTCCCAAACCAGGGTCAGCTAGCAAAGGGCACAGTCTGTGCCCGGGGTCCTGCAGAAGAGGGTTCCTGGAGGGCTGACAAGAAAGGGGCTGCCCAGCAATTCTGCTCTCGGGGTCCCTGAGCCCCAGATGGCAGGAGAGCTCTGCGCTAGGATAGGCAAGTGGTATGGGGGTACAGGCCGGGAGATTGGGGGCAGATAGGAAGTAGAGGCCACGGAGGGGGTGTGAGCTGGGTCTGAGTGGGGTGACCGCACAGGGGCCCGGGAGGGCACAGTGAGGATGCAGATGAAGAGGAGGGTGTCAGAGTGGACCCCAGCTCATGGTCTGAATGCCTGCAAAAGGTGAGCAGGAACTGGGCTTTGGGGGAGACCTTGGGAACAACCTCCAGCTCACAGATGTGTGGTGGACCCCTGGACTGTGGACCTCCTGGACTGTCAGCCTCCAAATTATAGACCCCCCCCCCCCCGCCGTCTGTGGATCTTCCTGACTGTGGACTCCCCAGACCGTAGGCCCCTTGGACTGATAGGAAAAATAAGAAAATTAAAAGTCTGTTGTGATTCACAGTCTTTTACCAGTGGTCTTGAATTACACGAAAATTGGGCAGTATTCAGATGGCCCATGTGCCCTCCACAGTTCATGTCACCAACACCATGACAATGAGGGCCATGGGGGAGGCGACAGCCCCTGGGTCATGCTCCTGGCCTTTCTCACATAGCCTTGTAGCTGGCTCTGTTCTGTGTTCCTCATGTAGCCCACACCCTGCTCCCAGCCTGGCCACGTCCCCGTCTGAGGGTCAGGTGAGCCCCCAGCCCTGGGTGCTCGCTCAGAGGCGTGCTGGCGACGGTAACATCACAGATGGTCAACCCCTCTTGGCACCCCTAGGTCCTTCTGGAGATCAGTCAGTGCAGAGCATCTGTAGAGGTACAGCAGCAAAGTAATTTACTTTTCCTTTTCGCTGATTAAATTCTAACAGGAAGGTAAAGATGTCACATTCTAAACTTTGTTTCTTGTAACTTGGCTAAAAGTCTATTTTTGTGCTTAAAAATAACAGCTTTTAGCTAAAACAGTCCCTAAATTAAGTCACACTTGTTTCAAAGTGACGTGTGTTCCCGGTGGAAGGCAGGTGTGGACTGTTGGGCTTGTTCTCCCCCGTGTGGCACGTGGTGGGTGCGTTCAGGCTACACAGGAGCAGCCCCATCAGGGCCGCCCTCCTGACCGGCACCGCGCACAGGCCTCGAGAACCGTGTGGCCGTTGGGCCCGGGGATGACCCGGCACTATAGAAGCATGCCGCCCCCCACCTCCGACTTCGAACAACAAAGCCCCCGAAGCCATTGGAGGTGCCTGGCCCAGCACCCCTGGGGAGAGAGCGGGTCTCTGGCCAGGCAGGCCCTGCTGGGGTGCCCTGGGGTGCTGGGTGCACAGAGAGTCTCAGCTGTGGGTCCTCATGGGAGGTGGGACCCCTGCCTTCTCAGGTCCTCTTCCCGTAGGACTTGTGGCCTTGTTAGTTCTGGCTGCTTTCTGTCCTGGAGGTGAGGGTCCTGACGAAGGGCCAGGCGGTGCCAGGCAGGAGGGGTCCTTCCAGGTTGTGGTGGGCGAGAGCAACATAGACGACACCCTCCCCTGAGGGCACTGGGACCAGGTGGGCCAGCTCAGCATTCAGGATGGAGTGGGCTCACTCCCGGACCCAGGCTCTGGCTTGGGGGCTGAGCCTTGTCCCCAGAGGATGCAGCTACGGCCTCCACCCCCAAACAGGTACCTGGGACCGGGATCCTATGGCTATCCTGGGCCCTGGGACTGGGGATCCTCCAGGGGCCTGCTTGGGGTCTTTCCTCAGGGAGGAGGACAGTGAGCAGTCCAGGGCTATGAGCATGGGCCACTGGCCATGGAAGCTGGCCCCCCAACAAGCTGGGCCAGGCCGTCGTCCCAGCTTCTCAGGCACTGGGTCCTGGGGGGCGGTCCCCAGCTTTAATTCCTCGTTCCCTCTTGTTGCCAGGAACTGAGATGTGGCTACTCAGTGGCCTTGATGCTGGTCATGTGACTTCATGAGCTCATGCACACTGACTCCCAGACAGTGAGCTCAGGGCCCTTTGCCTCCAGGTGCTCTGGGTAGTGCCAGCACCCAATCCTGCAGAGCCTGGGGGTGGGGGTGGCAGGGTCATCACCATCCTGATTGTCCTTTCTGTCTCCCCTGCCAGGTCTGGCCTCTTTGGCCTGCCCCCGTCCACTCCACTGCCCCAGGCCGAGGACACCCCTGTCAACGGCTGCCAGGGCCCAGTCGCCACAGAGGGGGACACGGAGGCAATGCAGCTGGGGACGGGCCCCCCGCCGCCTTCTTGCCCTGAGCCACCCCCGCCCCTGGTGCCACCGCTGCCTGCCGGCACCCTGCCCCCCTTCCCACCATATTTCGAAGGCGCCCCCTTCCCGCCCCCGCTCTGGCTGAGGAACACTTACCAGCAGTGGGTGCCGCAGCCACCACCCCGGACTATCAAGAGGACAAAGAGGCGCCTGTCCCGCAACCGTGACCCAGGCCGGCTGGCCCTGAGCCCCATCTGCCTGCGGCCAAGGCGGGTACTCTGTGAGAAGTGCAAGAGCACCCTGAGCCCCCCGGAGGCTAACCCCGCACTCCCCGCCACCCCCCGGCCTCGAAGGAGACTGAGCAGCGGCCCTGACTCCGACAGGGAGCTCCGCAAGCATGAGGACCCCGATGGCGGGGGCGACCCAGCGGCCTCAGTTACCGGCAGGAGGAGCAAGAGGGAGAGGCGGGAGGAGGAGCAGGCTCGGGTGCCACGGAGCCCCGCCATCAAGATCTCCTACAGCACACCCCAGGGCAAGGGCGAGGTGGTGGAGATCCCGTCCCGCGTGCATGGCTCCCTGGAGCCCTTCTGCCCCCCTCAGGCCCTGCATGGGGCCCAGGCTCCCGAGGTGGCTTGGGACAGGCCACCCAGCGGGCCCTCCTCCTCCATTCCTAAGCTGAAGCTGACACGACCCGTGCCTCCCAGTGCTGACCTGCTGCCCCCCAAGATTCGCCTGAAGCCCCACCGCCTGGGGGCTGGCGAGCAGGAGCCTGTCTACAGGGCTGAGCTGGTGGAGGAGCTCGGTGGACGAGGTCCCCGGGCCAGCTCACCCGCCCACCCTGCCCCTGGCTCTGCCCACGGTGCGCTGGTGGACTTGTCTTCAGGAAGTTCTGGCGAGGACGATGACTTCAAGAGGTGTCCCCAGGGTAAACACGAGCGTGACAGCCTGGCCTTTCTCACCAGCTGCCCCAGGAGCAGAACAGACTGTGCCCGGGAGTCAGTGTGGAGCGGTGACAGCCTGGACGAATCCAAGTCATCCAGCTCAGAAGTAACGTCCCCAGACACATACGACCTTTCCTCTGGTGATGGCGTGTCTGTGCCGTCTTCATCCAAGCATGCGGGGCAGACGGTCCCACCCCTGACGGTGAGGCTGCACACGCAGAGCATCTCCAAGTGCGTCACCGAGGATGGAAGGACCGTGGCTGTAGGGGACATCGTGTGGGGTAAGATTCATGGTTTTCCTTGGTGGCCAGCACGTGTCCTTGACATCAGTCTTAGCCAGAAGGAGGACGGGGAGCCCTCTTGGCAAGAAGCGAAAGTCTCGTGGTTTGGTTCTCCAACTACATCATTCTTGTCCATTTCCAAACTCTCCCCTTTCTCTGAATTTTTCAAACTGAGATTTAACCGTAAGAAGAAGGGGATGTATCGGAAGGCTATAACAGAGGCAGCCAATGCCGCGCAACACGTGGCCCCGGAAATCAGGGAGCTCTTAACCCAGTTCGAAACATGACTAGGGCTCCCTGACCAGGTGAGTGTGTACACGGAGGGCGGCCTCCTTCCTGGCCATCCAAGCTTGCGTCCCGTCACTGTCCCTCTGCTCTGGGCCCTGCAGGGGGAGGGGAGGTGTCCTCAGTCATCTGCCTTGCTGCTCCAGAGGGGGCCACCCGGAATGTCCTGCTGGCCACGTCCCCCAGCTTTGCCGAGCACAGAAGACGTGCTTCAGAAATAGGCCAGCCGTCCGCTGCTTGCTCCAAGAGCGGAGCTGGTTTGTGTTTGGGGGCCACTTTTCAAAATGCCCGCAAAGGAGTTCCTTACTCTGTGTTTGCCTTTGGCAGAGAGGGTGCGGTTTTTAAAGATGATGGTTTCCACCGATGGGGGAGTGCGGAGGGGGGTTCCTTTCCTGTTACCACTCAGGGAACACATACCTTCCTGTTCCCTCCGGCACACAGGCCAGGTGCCATTCTGGGGTCTCGACTTGGCAGGAAGCAGGACGGTTGCTAGGCAGCCTACCCTCAGATTTAGCCCCCACCCCTGAATCTGCCGAGGTGGGCGCTCCTCCATCTGCAGGTGGCTGGGTGCTCCAGGCTCCTGGAGGTGGCTCTGGGGTCTGCCCCCAGCCCGTGTCTCACCCTCTGTCTCTCCGTCTCTCCTTTCAGCAGAACTGTGTAGGCTCTCCAGCCATGCACCTTAGAGACCCTGTCACCATGGGGGGCTGGAGGCGTCACCATGTGGCATGCCTGTGGTCACCACGTGGAGTAGCAGGACGTGTCCGAGTTGCTGAGGCCACCTGCCACAAGCTACTCTTGATGCTGGGCGTGTTCCCATCTGATGGCCGCTGCCAGCTGGTGCCTGGGCAGTGGGGTGTGTCCGAGGGTCACTGGCCCTGCTGAGGATGAGCGTGGTTCTCTACCCCAGGTGGGCTTTCTCCTTGCTCTCATGACCTTCAGATGACCTTGTCTGACCTGGCCTGCCTGCTCACCCACCTGTCTGGTGCCACAGTTTCCCATGTGATGAGCCATCAGGCCTCAGCAGGGCAGCTAACCCGTGACTGGGGAAGGGATCTGTGGGCCATCTGGCAAACCTCACTGCTGCACCCCATGCAGAGGGGGTGCCAGGGTAGAAGCCATGATGAGGGGCTTGTCCCCACCTTCCAGCAACAGGCCTGGTCACCACCCTGAATTGCTCTCAGGAGTCTGGGCACAAACCTCTCCTTTCCCAACCAGGCACATCTCCCGCCAGTTCTGGGACTTCATATTGGGCACGGGCATGGCCTTGGCCTGGCGGCATTGAGCCAGCGAGGGTCTCACGTGAGGGCCCCCCACAGGCAGGGTGGCGGGTCCACCGAGGGGAAGGGGTTCAGGAACAGGTCAGGTGCCCTCCAGTCAGCTTCCTATGACTTCTTCCTGCTGTGGTTTGGCTCAGCCAGAACCCCTGGGCCGTGGCCACGTCCCGTTGGCCTGGGGGCTACCCGCAGGGTCTGGTCTGTCTTTTTGCGACCCCTGGCCCAGCCCTCTGCTCACACGGTCCATCCTGCTTTGGCCTGGTCTGGGCGCTGGTGTGGAGGGGGGAGTGGTGAGCAGGTCAGTCCTCAGAGTGACCTGTAGGTCCCAGGTCATGGTGAATAGTCTCAGGAGGACATTGAGCCCACACACATCAGCCCACGTGAAGCTCGCGGCCCTGGAGCCCAGAGTGGCCCCGCTCAGGGAACCCCCATGCCAGGAGAATGCCGCCCTGTGGGCTCAGGGCTGCTTGCTGGTCAGGAAGCAGAAGGAAGAATCTTGCCGGGCGGGTTTGCCTGCTGAGGGCCTGTGCCCACAAACCGGCCTCCTCTGAGTCTCCTGGACTGTCGGCTCTGGGGCTGTGCCTGTGTCCCCTGGCCGTGTGCACAGCGCTGGGGGTGTGGCCTGCTGGGGTTCTTCCAGCACCAAAGCACAGCGTGCTTTTTGGTTCCGTGTTCTGAGGGTTAGACTGTGAACATTGGCAGCTCCTTGAAGGGGGACTGGGAACCACTGTTACTGGGAAAGGTGGGCCTCCATGGGCCAGGCAAGGGCCAGGAGCCACGGTGGCTTCCTGAACTGGCAAGTGAAAGGCCACTGAGCGCCCCAGCCCCTGGAAATTCACAAGTTCCAAGTGGATGGATGTGCTTTGGGGCCACTGTCTAGCCTCCCAGGGACCGGGTGCCCCGCCCCTTCTCTTCCGGTCCCTGTGTCCTGGCAGCTGGCAGGCAGGGATCTTTCTGGGGCTGACACAGCAGCGCCTCCCTGACCTGCCTTTATGTAAGCAGCTCCGACCGCTGGGGTTCTACTTCCGTGAGCAAAAGGTGTCTTTGGGGCGAACCTGTTCCTCTGTATTTGTCCCCGTGGCTGTTGTCACAAATGACCACACTGGGTATCTAGAAACAGCAGACATTCATGCTGCAGTGGCTCTCAGGGGACATTCTTCCAGCTCCCAGGGGACTCCAGGTGTTGCTGGGCTTGCAGCTGTGTCACTGCAGTCATGGCCTCTTCCCTTCCGTGTTGAACCCCCTCTGCCTCCCTCTTACAAGGACCCTGTGATGGCATTTGCAGGCCCCCTGGGTCATCTGCTCATCACAGAATCTTTTTTTATTTTTTTATCCTCACCTGAGGACATTTTTCCATTCTCTGTTCAGATAGAGTGGGAGGGAGAAAGAGGAAGAGAGAGAGAGAGAAACATCGACATGAAAGGGACACATCAAGTGGCTGCCACCCACACGACCCAACCAGGGCCGGGGACAAACTGCAACCGAGGTACATGCCCTTAGCGGGAACCGAACCCGGGTCTCTCCAAACCGCAGGTTGACACTCTAACCGCTGAGCCAAACTGGCCAGGGCTCATCACAGAATCTATAACATAACAAGACCTGCAACACCTTCACAGTGGAAGGTCACATTCCGTTTCCAGGTTTGGGACCTGATGTCTTTGGGACACCCCTCACCATCCACGCCACAGATCCATCGGGGGCTCTTCGACAGTTGGCCACCTGGGCCCAGGGTGGGGTCAGTGGTGGTGGACGGGGTTGTGTGGTAATGGAGGGACCCGTTGTTCCAGAAGGATCCGCTGCCTTGCAGGTTGGCTGTGTACTCCAGTTGCGGGTCCTTGTGCTTTTAGCTTCGTAATGGTGATTTCTCCTGGGAAATGTAGTCACAGGTCGGGAACACCAGCTGGGAAACTGGCGGTGTTACTGGTGAGGGTGTCACCCCGACGACCTGTGGCCCGACTGTGTGAATATGCTACTTGCTGGTCAGACGAGGAAAAGGCACCCAGCTCCTGTCTTCAGGTTTTGACATTTTTAAATGTGTTTTTTGCCTTGAGCCGCATGCCCCAAACTAGCTTTTCTCTTTTCTTCCGACTCTGAATAAAAATGTATTTCTGCTTCTGAAGGTGGTTCCCAGCTGACATCCACATTGCTTCCAAGGAATCCAGGTCCTCCAGGAGGTTGTAATTATTTTGTTCCAGAAGGAAACCAAAGCCTGTAATTCCGAGCCTGCTGCGGGGGCTCAGGCCCCGTCCCACCTGCGGCTCTCAGCGCTGTCCTGCGCCTCAGCCTCGGGGAGGGCTGGGCGGCCATGGGTACAGCGGGTGCAGCAGGGGCAGGGGAGGGGCAGGTCAGGGTGGCCTCCAGCAATGCCCAGGCGTTTGCAATAGCTCTTCTGGGAACCAGGTCCCTGGGGGCAGCGGCTTCGGGCTGCCCGCGCCCACCTGGGCCTTCATGCCGCCCTCTTGTTGCCGAGGTGCGTCAGCCTGGTGGGAGACGCTTTGCTGGGGTCTTGACTGATTCCTAGTTTCCACCACCTGCTCCAAATTCTCATCACTGGCCCAGCTGACATCTGTGCCTCCAATGGGGCACCTGCCCTGGGGTCAGACAGCCCAGGGGCACTTGGGGGGGGGTAGTGGTGCCATCCTACACCATCAAATTCGGGTATGACTCCTCCACAGGCCAGTGGTACTCACTCCCTGCTAGCGACCCATCTTCTTCGGAGTTGCTGGCCTCAGCCAGCCATTCTTAGCATTGCTGCAGGGACACTGGTCACACGTAACTATCAGAGACCGTCTTACAGAAAGGCAGGACGTGTTTGAGTCATTTCCCAGCACCCTTCCAGAATGACCATGAATTCTGTCCTGAGCGTGTGCCTGTCACCCTCATGTCAGTGTCCATGCGCCGTCACCCTCCACAGGGCTGAGCGTGGCTATGCCTTTTCTTTCCCAGAGTTGTGTGTGCGGGGCCTTTGGTAGCTGCCTGGGGGCCGTGCACACATCCTCTGCCTGAAGACAGTGCAGCGGGAAGCCAGGTCCCAGCACCTTCCTTTGCTTGTCTGGTGACGTCTGGTGGTTCTCACTTCTGACCGTGGCTACTCATTTCTTTGCTCAGAAACTGCACTATGTCACCATTTTCAGAAACGCTGTGGTTTGGGGAAACAGGCCTTGTTAGTTCTGATCTTCAGTGTGGAGAGAAGCAGGTCGGATGTCATCCTGGGACCTTGGGCACTGGCTGGCCCTGCCCTCCCCACCCAATGTCCATGCAGCCCAGGCCCCTCCTGTCACCCCCATTTGCTCAAGCAGCCCTAACCAGAGACTTGGGGGGAGCAGCCTCAGCCAGCTTTTACTGCAGGGTCCCTGGTGGTGATCTGGCCCCTGGGGCCACTCCTGGAAGGGGACACTGCTCCTGTGAGGTCAGCTGGGCCAGCCAGGGACAGGCAGGGAGAAGGGGCTGTCATCGCTGCACCAGGGCTGTGTGGCCTGGCAGAGCCTTGCGTGCTGGGCATGGCAGGCAGGGCCGTGCTGGGAGAGGAGGCTGTGGGTGGTGGGGGGCCTGTGTAAGGTGTGTGCAGGCCCCAGGCCAGGTGGAGGCTGGGCGTGGTGCTACCTCCACGGGTGTGAGCGGATGAGGGGTGGCCTGCCAGGACTGGACTGAACATCATGGGGGTGACTGTTGGGGGAGGGAGGACTTAGGGGGGCATGATCATGGAAGGAGTCAGAGAGACCCCTGTAGTCCTGCAGATGGCTGAG